CCAAAGTTAGAAAGTCACATATCATTTGAAAATATGTGAGGAAATGAGAATCTTCACGTCTAGCTATTGAGAATATAAACTATTACAGATTTTTTAGAAAGTAATTTAGCAGAACTTACTAAAATTAAATAGTCCTGTGACTTAGCAATTGTATTTTCTCTAGCAAATACGTGCTAGAGAAATTTTCGCACAGGTCCATAACATGACGTGAATTAGGATACTCACCACTGCATTGTTTACGACAGCAGGGAAGTGGAGAAATGGGCAGCATCACAGGTGTTCATCACTGGAAAAATAGATAAGATGCAGTGGAGTCAAACTGTATTTATTTATATGAACATACATAACACTATTCTTTCTGTAGTTATTATTCACCCAAGAATTCCAACTTAGATTTTTCTGTAAGTGCTTAAAATTAACCAATCTGTAGTTTCTTTTAGAAAAAGGCATTTATTTGGCTGGGCACAGTGGCTCACACCTGTAATCCCAGCACTTTGGGAGGAAAGTGAGAGAACTGTTTGAGGCTAGGACTTTGAGACCAACCTGGGCAATATAGTGATTCTCTATAAAAATAAAATTTTTTAAAGTCAGATTCTTGTCTCACTTATAGAAATCATTTGATATTTTACTTCCATTCTTATTTTACTATCACCACTAGTTATACTTATTTCTGCTCCACTACATGTGGTTTTGGTCAATATTATTTATTGGATCCCAAATCTACTTTTAAGATTTTCCGTTTCATTGGAGTATCCCCTAGTACTTCTTACAGAGGCAAATTCTGAGTCCCTGAATTCCTGAAAATGTCGTTATTTTGCCCTCCAACTTGAGTAACTTGAGTCTTCTTGTATCCAAATTGCTGGTGACAGTTCCAGTGTCACTCTAATCCTATTCACTTTGTAAACATTTCCTTTGCATTTTGGAAACTTTTAACATGTTCTTTTTATTTTTAAAATGTTTTTGAGGCACAGCCTCACTTTGTCACCTAGGCTGAATTGCAGTGGCACAATCTCAGCTCACCGCAACCTCTGTCTCCTGGAACCAAGTGATCCTCCCAGCCTTGGCCTCTGAGTAGCTGGGAATACAGGTGCACACCACCACACCTGACTTTTTCTAGAGATGGGGTTTCACTCTTGCCCTGGCTGGTCTCGAACTCCTGGACTCAAGCGATCAGCCCACCTCAGGCTCCCAAAATGCTGGGATTATAGGTGTCAGCCACCACGCCTAGCCAAAGATGTTCTTTACACCTACTCTAAACATGAAGATGTATCTAGAAGTGTATGTTTATAGTTTTGCTTGGTACTAAATGGCCTCATTCCAGTCTGAAAACCTATGTTGTGCTTCAGCTCTAGGAAATTTTATTTTTCTCCCTTGTTTCCTTTGAAGACTCATGTTGGAACATGAGAACTTCTCTTCCATATCTCATTTCACATTATTTCTTAGTTCATTTGCATTACTTTGGAATCTAAGCCGAAAGCTTTTTAATTTGCCCTTTAGGTACTTTCTATTTTCCAGCCCAGCTGTTTGACCATTCTATTTTACATTAAGACATCTAAATCCTTTCACGCAGCTTGTTTTCTAAACTCAATATCCTTCTTTATCTCTCAGAAGTTATCATTTTACAAATTGATTTCTTTAGATATTGGTGCTTCTGTTTGGTAACTCTCACGGTGTTACTTTTTTTCATAGTTTCAATTACTTTTGTTGTTTTCACCTTACTGTGAGCCTGAGTTACTTGCTTATTGCAAACTATCTGCACTAATGGTGGAAAAAAAAACAACATGCCAATGGTCAGACCATGCTAGCTCAAAAGGGCTATACTGGTTTTCTCTCTGAATCTAGGTACCCACACTAATTACTCCTGCTTTGAACCAGATGTCCTTTCTGCACACAGCCTGGCATATAAAAGGTGGTTGAACTAAACCAATTCCTTATAATGCAGTATCACCACCATTCTTGATCCTTTATATTGTCTTTCATCTGAAGGAAAATCCACCTTTCATGGTAGAATTCTCTGGTTCTAGCCCTTCAAAGAATTTCTCAAAAATTATGGATTCAGTGTACTCCCTTCTTGTTTTACAAAACTGGTAAGACTATTACATAACACCTTTGCCTATTGGAGTATTAATAATCTTTTCCATCCTTTATAGGTATGTGGACAGGACGAGGAGATTAAAGCATGTTCCATTTTTGCTACCTTGAATAATTTATTTCTGACAGTCAAGTCTGCAAACAATTCTTCCTGTTCTTGGGAGGATGAATGTTCCTTTGAGGGCTGCTGCAGTGAAGGATGATCCAAATATGAGATGTTTAGAATGCATTCTGGACCAACATTAGTTCTCAGAGTATTAGGTTCTTCCTTTCACGAAGATGATGATGAAACTTAACATCATCCATCCTAAAATCCATGCTCTCTGCTCATGCTTTCATTTTTTAACAATTAGTTTTTCTTTAGTTTTCTGACAAGGAAAAGTTTGAAAGAAGAGCAACTGAAAAAAGATCCTTCTCAAGTTACATGTTGGAGGAACACAAAAAAGATTAATTTGATTAGGTTTAAGGAAAATCAACATTTATAGGCTTGTTTTCATTAAAAATAAGCTTTAGGCTGAGCGCGGTGGCTCAAGCCTGTAATCCCAGCACTTTGGGAGGCCGAGGCGGGTGGATCATGATGTCAAGAGATCAAGGCCATCCTGGTCAACATGGTGAAACCCCGTCTCTACTAAAAATACAAAACATTAGCTGGGCGTGGTGGCACGTGCCTGTAATCCCAGCTACTCAGGAGGCTGAGGCAGGAGAATTGCCTGAACCCAGGAGGCGGAGGTTGCGGTGAGGCGAGATCGCGCCATTGCACTCCAGCCTGGGTAACAACAGCGAAACTCCGTCTCAAAAAAAAAAAAAAAAGCTTTATTGAATCCCTTGAGGGGAAAAGCACACTTTTACAGCTTAGACGTCTTCCTTTCCCAGTGATGCAAGTTTCTCAAATTTTATCCTGAAATGAAATTGTGGGCCGATTGAGAAGCTAAATGGGCAGACGCCTGGCAGATCACCATTGTCCCTGGTTGTTACATTAGAAAGGAAAGTTGTAACAGGATTCTTTCTGTTTAGATTCTATAGAAAGGTTCAGGAGTATTTTGATTGTTCTCTACAATAAAACCCAGGTTGTTCTCTTAAAAAAAAAAAAAATTAGGTGTTTTCTCTAAAACAGGCTTTCTCAGCTTAGCATGAGATTTTCAGGTGGTTGGATATTAGGACTGTACATTATAGCTGACCACAAATTCTAACCTTGAAAAATTGCTTCCTGAAGAGACTGTAGAAGATAGCATTCTCCTAAGAATTTTCCAAAATTAAATGACTACTTACTATCCTCTGGACTTATGAATTCTGTATAGAATTAGCAGTCCTTTTAATAAAGTTTTACACTTTTCTCCATATTTTTCTTGGCAAATATTTTATATTCTTATCTTACAGTTCTTGTGGTTGTGAATATATTTTTAAATAAAATATATTATCTAATTGGCATAAAAAAAAGAATTAGCAGCTTTAGACAGAAGAATTTTGTCAACTTTTTCTGAAGTTTCTTATTTAGAAACAAATGCATACCTGAAGGTCTGAGTTGGTTGACTGTCTAGATTACTTTTTTTTTAAAGAGGCATCTTGTTCACTTGTTCATCAATTAAAGCTCTTGGTGAATCATAATTATATCAATGTCTATTTTATAAGAAACCTATTCACTGAATATTAAAAGGCTATGTAAGAATGTAACAGACTCAGTGAAAAAAAAAAAAAAAAAAAAACCTTCCAAATAGATTTCACTTGTCAGTCTCCAAGAAACACTTCCCATCTTAAGTTTCCTTTAGAATAACTTGAGATAAATTACACTTTTCCATACCCAGATATACATGATTTTAATGCTCAAAAAAAAGTGTATTTTTCATGAGAATTTCTCTAACCCTGAATTTTGTAAATAAACTACAGTTTAAGCATTATTAGTTTGTTATCTGTCCTCTATGTGTTGTTTCATCTAGATATATATAAAAATTTGGAATGCTGAATAAATATTGGTTGATAAAATGTTAACATAGCTGCTAATGGGGATTTTTAAAGTACAGCAAATTAAAAGCTTAGTTCTGCTTATGGCAAGTTTTGTGTTTAAAAGTATTAAGTATATGTACATCTTCATATCCAGTCCAAAGAGGTCAGAAGAATATTTACAAAATAAATATGTAGGGAATTTTAGAATTTCACTGATTTAGATGAACTAGATTCCTTAATCAGCATAAAACTTTAGATTATGTCAGCAACTATATACTGCATACATTGATCTTATCATTTTTACTGCTGAAATTTTTTACTGGCTAGAGTAAGAAATTTTAACCACTAAAAGATAGTTGTGGTTTTGAGGAACTGCTACATAATACTCACTAAAATAAAATTAGTCATGAGTATAGGCCTTAACTACAATTCCCTCAACAATATATAAACTAAAAATGTCTTCTTCACTTCCTCAAAAAACTTATTCTTTTATTCAAATTTTGAAACTTATTACAACAAACTTCTAATTAAAAGTCCTGTCATTTAATTTTAATTTTCCAACATTTTCAAAGAAAACTTGGCTATACTACTTCTCTTGGTAAAGTTTCTTACTCAACTTTGTGTTGCAAGAATATTATAAAATTTTAATTAACTACAGTAGGACAAAATACCAGTGTTGCACTTAGAATACTTCAATGTAATGTGCACACACATTGAAGTTAAGGTTAATGGAACTGAAGATCCATTGTTCTGAGAGGCTTAATTCCTTTTCCAAAATTATAATCTATGTATGTGTTCAAGGTAAAGTAGTTGAAAACTTCACAATTATATTTATTAAATGTATTTCTGATTAAAAGTAGAATATGACTGTGAAAATCTGAAATTAGTAAAAGGCAATGTTAAATATTTTAGAATGCAAAAATTAATATTTAAAAACAAACTAAGAATAAAGGGAACACCGAGACTTGTCTTAAAGAAGCTGTCATTCTTTTTTTTTTTTTTTAGAGATTACAACACACATACAATAAGTGAATTTTATCAAAATACAGCACATTTCTTCTACTATGTCCATAAAAATCAATTCCTATGTAAATAGTACTGAAAATCAACTAAAATGAGTTAAAATTTACAAAGAGTTGTTAAAGGGTTTCAATCAAAATTATTAAAACTATACAGTACAATAACCAATTGATAACATCTTGAAAGAAGTGCAATATTTGAGTTCACATATTTTTAAAAGTGCTGCCTATTCACTCTGACTAGCAAGAATGGAACATGAGTCCAACTCGCTTTTGCAAAAATAATGTGGGTTGGTGTTTTAAGCTAGTCTTATAAAAGTCTTAATTAAAATCAAGGTTGATAAAGCATAACAGATTAAAAATTCCCAAATTGCATTTTAGTAAATAAAATGAAATGCAATAACCAAATATTGCTCTAATGAAAGGTTCCAGACTAGCCTTAACTAAACAGTTATTGGTCTTCTATGGCACTTTTTTCTGGTCCAAATAACCATGCATTAATCCTTACCATTGTATGTTACTCAAATTTTATTTGATTACATGAAACAAAAACAAATAAAAACTAATGGTCTGGATAACAAAATTAATAAACCTCTATTATCATCAAATATTTATTACAGTAACTAGGAACAAAGGCAGTTGGTGGTAAAACACTATTACACTGATACACGTAGAAACCCTTTAAAGACTCTGAAGTGTTGAGTTCACATTTAATGTTACCTGTAGAAACAGCCCTTTATTTGAACACCTTTACACACTGGTAGGCCTCAAGGACCCATCCCTTTGCTCTACAACTCTCCACAGCAATTCTCTATCACTGTGCCAGTTTCACAAACTTACTTTGGTTTCCTAGCTCCATGCGTACTGTTTCCTTTTTTACTTTACCAAGGCAATGCAAGGCCAAACAGAAAAAAGAGGCTTTCCTACTAAACTTTCTTACATTTTGTGTTACAGGCAACACAGTCTTATAATTGGCCATTTTTGTTTCATTTGCTGCTTAAAATAAAAATTATAAATTAGATTTAAATGGAGCACTAATTATAAAACAGATTGCAAGTACCACCATTTGAAGAAAAAAAAATCGGGATTTCCATAACACAGAAAATGCATGGACATGCATCTACAGTAGAGATAAAATTTTCCTGTGACTAAAAAATTAAAAACTCAATCACCAGTAGCAAATGTATAGTCAATGGCTATGACAAGAACAGATCCTGTAGAGCTCATAAAATGCAATTATTGTCTTTTTTGCTTTTTAAAAAAGACATTACATATTTTATTGCATTGTTCTCTTAATAAAAACATATTACCACATAGCTCCCCCCGTCCCCATTCTTTGCTTCCAGATTTTTATAGAAAATAACTGTTTTAATCTGGCCTTGGAAAGTGAATCCACCAGCACCAACTTCACCTACTCACTCTTCAGTTCAATATGCACATAGCAAAAGCCAACACTTCAAATATCTTGCCCACATCAAAAAAAGTAGTTTCAGGAGAAAAACATTAATACCAGTTGAATAAAAATAAGGGCATAAAAGCTATGAGATAGATAGCTCTGCCATCTGTCTCTGGGCTAAAATCAAGGCTAACTATTGCCTTGCACACAGTTCAGTCATGTATGAAATCCAAAAATAAACCTACAATCTATACAAAAACAACACAGGTTTGTTTTTGTAACCTTGATTGCTATGTTTAAAAACCTAACAAGTTTTATATGGTATGAATTCAACAGTCTTCTTTATATTCTGTACAGTGGTTCTTTCCCTCTAACCACAAGTTCCATTACTTCATTAATGTACAAATTTGAACATAATTTTTTGAGTTCTTCTTTATATATAAAAATAGTCAAAATATTAATTTCCCCTGCAAGTATCTTCCAATAAATCTTGCTGTCTTCCCCCCACCCCTTTTTTTGTCCACAGTGCTTATGAGGAAACTTCTCGTACAATGATGAGTTCAACCGTATTCTGGAAAGTTTTTAGCAAGGACACTGCTTGTCCATGTTCAATATTTATAAAACTGTAGCCATTAGCCTAGAAGAAAGAAAAAAAATGCTTTTAGAAAAAACATTTTCTAGTAATTTATTTGCATTTCTGCCAAGTAATTCACAAACCTGGAAGAAAATAAGAATCACTTTGACAACTTAAAATAACATACAATTCACAGGCCCTACCCAAACCAAGCAATAGTCTCTAAAGATGGGAGTCTAGAAATGTGTATTTTGTCGAATTTTTCAGAGAATTCTTATGTAGTAGCCCAATATTAGGAATCACTTATGTAAGAAATAATGTCAGGCATGGTGTTATGTAAATGTTAATGTGCATCTGAGGTGACCAAACTGTGGGGTAGCAGAGGGCAAGGCCTAGTCTTCCCATTGTCTTGAGCCATCACATCAAGTCCACTGCATTTCTCACAATTAAGGTTAATATTTACTGAGGTTCTACTGTGTATCATACACACGATGCTAACTGTGTAACATGAATTAGATCCTTTGATTCTGGTAACGCTCAGAAAAGATTCTTTCACCGTCTTATTTTAGAGAAGAGAAAGCCCAGGCATGGAGAGAAAAAGTAACTTGTTCAGTTACAAGACTGAAACCACAGATTCCCAAATGGTTCACAAAAATAAATGTGTATATCTGTTATGAGAGAGAAAGAGAGAGAGAGAGAGAAGGAGGGGGGGGGGAGAGAGAGAGAGAGATAGAGAGAGAGAGTGTGTGTGTGTGTGTGTGTTTGTGTGTGTAGAGACAGGGAGGGAGAAAAGGAGAAGAAAGAGGAGAATAAATGCTAAAGACAATGTAGCAAATTACTGTGGCTTTTCTCTAAGCTTTAAATTATTTAAAAAATTTTTTTAAATTAATTTTACTTTAAAAAAGTGTTGGAACCAGAATTCAAACTCAGTCTAGCTTTCAGAATCTGCAGCTACTAGACTTGAATATTCGTCTGTTTTTTTTGTTTTGTTTTGTTTGAGGGTTATATTTTAGTTCTCAACTAAGAACAGTTGACAGTAAGAGTAGAAAACGAGAGCTACACTTGTGTCCTAGGCCTGTCTTCCTCCTAAGACTACAAGTGTTTAGGTAAAATGAGTAGCTGAAAGAACAAAGAAAAGGAGACAGAAAAATAAGAAGAGTTTCTCAGATTTAAAACTTTTCTCCATTTCTGAAAGGACAACAGCCGACAACAAAGAAGTGGTACTCTAATCCCCCTCAAATTAATAAAAATTAGCATTTCTGAACAAAATCCTATGATGTATCACACTTTTAATCACAATTTTTAAAGTGAATACATTTTAAACTCTGAAAATAGTGTTATAAAATGAAAAATAAATAAATTGATATTTATTTTAATTACCTGAATAATTTTATCACCTGGCTGCAGTAATTTTGATGCTGGTCCTTCAGGTTGTACCCTTGTTACAAATATACCCTTTAATAACAAAAAAATAATAATAATTCAACTAAAAACAGTATGTATAAATAACAGAGTAACAAGGAGCAATTTTTCCACCACATCATGCAAATATTTGAATCATGGTACGAGTTTTCTCCCTGACTTCTCTGAATACTACTGTGACAAACTAGTTATTTTTACCCCTAGTAATTCTGCCTTTAGTGATATTTTTTAAAGTAGTAAAATTACTTCAATAGACGTGTGAAAAAACATTAAGAAAATTAAAAATCAATAATATCATAAACATTCAAAGTTTTTGGTTAAACTGCTTTTCTTCAATTAACTTGAACTTATCAAATTACAAAACAAAGCTAAGCAACAGCAAGGGGAATCAAGGTGATGTCTACCTAGACTTACATAAACGTCTGTTAGATTTTCACTTACATATAAGAAATATTGAATTAGTAAATAAAACTTTATAGATGTTTTGAGAATATACAAAGAAAACTTACATCATCATCCGGTCTGAATGGGTTTCCTCTACCCCCGACACCACCTGATATGCTAAATCCAAGTTCTGGATCTTTTTCAACTCTCACTCGAATCTGAATTAATATGAAAATAAAGGAAACCATTATTATTTCAGAAAAAGTTATAATGCAACAACAACCATATTTAAATATTGATGGATTAAGTCCACGCAAACATAAATAAGAATTCATCAAAAATAAACATTTGGTCAGATGAAGTGAAATACAACATAGAATATTATGTTAATGAGTTAGTGAGTTAAAGGCAGAGCTGGGATTATATAAAGCATAGCTCCTAATTTTATTGCTTGTCTTATGAGGATAAGGAATCAATTAATATTGACCCTGTTTTACTTTTTAGAAATCACAGATTTTAATGACATATTACATAAAAACAAAACATATGTATCAATTTACACTTGTGGGACATCTAAATTACACAGTATCTCTGTTTACTGCCTTGTTTCATAAGATATCTAAAAGATCCATTGGTGGTTTTGTGATATCAACTCTTCATTTATTCAATCTGTTTAAAGGCTTCGAAGGAGTTGGGATTTTAAAATATGAACAACTGATAGTTTTTATAACCACGCTATAAAAAAAGATGCAAGAATGAAACACTCCCTTTCACCAGAGACACAACCAAAATGAATAAACCATTTGATCTCTACCTTTCTAATATTATTGATCACATTATTAATAACTATCAGGATATATGAATGTGTGGCTCGCTTTTTAATATTAAATACTCAAAGTAGTTTGAAGTCTGTAGTCAAATTTTAAAATCTAAGGAATTAAGATTTTAAGTGTCACAGAACAAGTTCAACTTAATGGTCTCCTATTCATATTTGTAGGAAATGTCTGACTACTGGAGTAACAACCAGTTGTGGAAAAGCAACTGTACTAAAAAAATCAGGCCCAAAATAACTAAATCCTATACGATCACAAAGTCAAATAAAAATTACCAAGTTTAACACCTTATAAATGTAACATAAAACTTTAAACAAAATGGTAATAACTATGTTAAAATTCTATATGGATTTATTGCTAATGTAAGTAACCTATAAAAACACATTAAAAAGCTTAGTCCCATATTTCAAATAGTCTTGATTATTCTTACCTCTTGTTTTACCAGTTCATGGCCTTGTCTAGGAGAACAATGGGGCTGTGTATATGGAGGCTGGTGGGCCACTTTCAGCATCAAGTAATCAATTAGTTGTTCTCTAGAGGGATGCCTTGCCACAGATGCCTGAGGGGGATGATGTATTTGACTATAATTTGCCTGAGGCCTGAGAGGCTGGCCCATCTGTCCATTACTCAAAGGCATCTAAGAAAAACATGAAGTATCTTAAAATGACCAATAATAATGTCTTATTTCAAATATTTGGATTTCTTCTTGGAGCATCAGAAAAGCACTAAAGTTTTCACATTCTAAGAAGTCAAACAATACTATGCCACTTACTATTTTTCTGTAATTTTAAACCTTAAAAGAAATAAGCTATTAATGTCTTAATTCTAAAGTTTCCTGAGTCCTTTTGTTAAATTCACTTTTTTAAGCTTTCAAATGGAAGTACATCGTATCTACATTTAAAATTTTTTGTGAGCAATATTTCTATTTTCTTAGATCTTACAGTAACCAAATGTTAAAATGGCACATAGTATGTCAAAATTTTAAAACTTAAGCCAATATATGAGATGTGTATCTTTTCCCATACTAAATCAAACACACATACACAAAAGGTACATTTGCTGATGTTTTTCTTCAGAAAAAAAACTAATTTTGTGGTAAAATTCTTTCTAAATTTGAATATACTTTTCCACTTTTATTCCCTCCTTTCTAAAATTAACAAGTCAATTTAGCTATCTATGTAGTAGAAAACTGACTTATTCCTTGTATGTATGTTAGAAACTTTTACAATCTCTTAATAATTCCATAGATTAGCCACAAAAATTAAATGTTGACATTCTACCCTATTCTTCACAAAGCAAAAAACAAAAAACTTGAAATTATTGGTTTGTTGTTGTTAAAGAACTATCTTTGTTTAATGCCTCTCATTTTTTTTAGAAAATAAACCTGACTTAAAATCAGCTTTGTAGAAATGTGGCTAATAGCTTATTTCAGTATCATAAGGAATCTATCTTTAAAATTAAGAGGTGGGGTGCAGTAGTTCATGCCTATAATCCCAGCACTTTGGGAGGCCTACACAGGAGGACTGCTTCAGGCCAGGAGTTCAAGATCAACCTGGGCAAAACAGAAAGACCCCATCTCTTACAAAAAAAAAAAAAAATTAGCTAGGCATGGTGGTACACACGGGTAGTCCCAGCCACTTGGGAGGCTCAAGTAGGAGGATCGCTTAAGCCCAATAGTTTGAGGCTGCAGTGAGCTGTGAGCATGCCACTGCACTCCAGCCTGGGTGACAGAGCAAGACTCAATCTCCAAACAAACAAACAAACAAAAAAAAAAAGAAGAAAGAAAAAGAAAAAAGAGGAGGTCACAGTCACACTACAAATATTTGCATATAAGAAGATTTTTGTGTAGAAAACAATATATAATTTTCTTGTTGGTTATTAAGAGAAAGAAAATCTCATCAACAAGGAAATTATGGGAAAACGATGAGGGAAATAGTTGAGGTTTATTTCCCTAAATTATTCAAAAGTAGAAAAGTTTGGAGAAAGACATGGCAACAGTTTCAGAACTGCATGCTTTTCTCGGTGAACCTTGCTGAAAGATACAAAGTAGCTTAGCTTTGGTGAAGATTTGTACTTTTCAAACAAGGCGTTCTATTTCTTAACCTGTGTTATTGCTGAGAATTTAAATTCTGAAGTCTGGGAACACACATGCGTATTTTGTGACAGGACACAAGGATATTACTCTATGACAAATCTTATATTGGTTAGAGAGAAGAAAAATGAAGTGGTATATCAGCTCTACATTTTTTGGTGAAAAACCTGTTTATTACTTATCATTGTAGATTTAATGTATCTGGTTTGCCCATGAGTAATTAACTGGTTGTGCTGTTGCTTTATTACTTACACACAATTCTGCAAATAGCCCACGATTTTGTCTATGTTTATACCATTTATTCCTGCATGCAAATTCAGTATCTTTCTCCTGGGAAAAATCCAGGTAATAATTACTACTGGCCTTACGGCTCTGTGATACCAGATATTTGGTCTTGCCTACATCATTGTTAAACATACACATGGAATATATTAAGCTACAATTAGCAGATGGCTCAGGAAATTAAAAAGTATTAAACTCAGTAATCCCAAACCACTAAATGTATGTAATTAAAAAAAAAAAAAACTTGATGACAAAGCTCAATTAAAAGAAAAAAAGGGTAAAATAATAGAAACTTACGAACTTATAAATTAGATGATCAGGTGGCTATTCTGAAGAGCAACAGAAAAGTTTTATGTAACAGATAACTACACTTTATAATTATAACTGGTCATACTAGGGGCATGGAATCAGGAAAATAAGAAAGAATAGTTGAGGAAGGATAGTAAAAAATTCTCTCTCTGGCACTGGCCATACATAGATAATTGCAACAGAAGTACTAAGAACACAACCATCATCTATTCTACCATATACAAAAGTCTTTCAAGGTGATTTCTAAGTATATTTGAAGTAATTACATTTGACTTAAGTAATAATAAAAGATCCTAGAATGAAGAATTTAACACAACTTCATCTTCAATTCTCCAAATAGTTTTACTGTCAGAAATATCAAAAAGGCCTTGATTCAAATGATAAAATAAATAGGTGGTACAATATAATAGAAATTTCAATGCAAAAATAAAATAATTCTCCAGCATGGAAAAATCATGGAATAAACTGAGAAATAGCAGACAGGGTCAAATTCTATTTTGTATTTCTGATATTTTAAAAATCCTTATCAATCAAGGTAGGAAAGCCCTCAAAAAAGTACTTTCAGCTAAAGCACATATTTCTACTCCAAAAGTTGCAAAATATAGAAAGCTCACAGACACTAATTTTTTTTCTCTGAGCACCTACATTCATCAACCTGTCTGGAGGAACATCTTTATGACTAACTGTGGCTGATGAGTAGTTCTGCTGTCCTGAAATGAATATACCATCTCGACAAGGATCTGCTGGACTGGACGTCTGGGGATGCTTCAAATGAGCAGGAAATAAAAAGTAAACAAATAATGTTCTTTAAGATACGAAACCAAAATGATGACACTTGAGTGAAGATTAGAACAAAATACTGCCAAATAGTGCAAAGATGAAAACCCAAATCAAACACTGCTATCATCACTGCCATCAATTATTATCTTTCACTTCTTCCAAAGGTATACAGCAAGATGTTTGTTTTTGTATGTATGAAAAGCTTATATGAAAATATATTGTTAATCTATTTATGTACAATACACATATGTAGAAGACAAATTCTTCTGTTTGTTCTTTTTTCCTTTTAGGGTTTTATTTACAGTAAAACCTAGCTTTTGCCACCTTTGAGCAATAAATGTAGTTATTAATTAACCAAAGTTTAGAGTCTCAAATGTTAAGACCAACTAAAACACAATTGTGTTGAGTATTATAAAAAGATTATTGGTATAAAAAAAAATTAACTGCTGTTCTTCTAACAGAACAGTAAAACATGGGATATTCCACCCCCCCTAAATTTTAATGATGAGCAGAACCAATACACTTACAGTCTTATAAAATTTGCTTTACTGGGATAAACTTAGGGTGTGAAATCAATAAAAAATTTTATTTAGCTTAATTCTGCCACACTGATATTAGTTCAATAGTTCCAAAGTACTGATTTGGAGAAACGCTATTAAAACCAATTAACTGATTAATATTTTTATAGGCCAAATAATATCCCTGTATTATACTTTATCAAACTAGGGGAAAAACAGACTCAATCTCATTATCCCTGAATCAATCTGTTTAAGAGTCTCACTCTGTCACCCAGGCTGCAGTGCAGTGGTGTGATCACGGCTCACTGCAGCCGTGACCTCCTGGATTCAAGCAATCCTTCCACCTCAGTCTCCTGAGTAGCTGGGATCATAGGTGTGGTGTTACCACGCCTGGATAATTTTCTCATTTTTTGGAGAGGTCAGAGACAGGGTCTCCCAACATTGCCCAGGCTGATCTCACATTTCTAGGCTCAAGTGATCCTCCTGCCTTGGCCTCCCAAAGTGCTGGGATTACAGGTGTGAGCCACTGCACAGAGCCTCTGAATATTTCTTATTATAAATATGCCAGGAAGCAAGACACATATGTTTTTCACTTCAATTTTAGTTCTAAACATCCCAGATGTATTTTAGAAAACAAAACAGATTGTGATAAATAGCACTACTGTTACTTTCAAAACAATTTACAGCTAGCAACAAAGAAATGCAAACTATACCATATCGAAAAAATAATCTAAAATCTACTTTGTTGTGACATATTACAGCATACATATAAAGAATTTCTAATTTAATCATAGAAATTATATCTGCAACAGGTCTATCATATGCAGTTAGTTCAAACCATGGCTTAGAATTTTTAAATATGGTTTGATCTAATTTTGTGTATTTATGCAATGAATACTTTATTTTCCTTCTCCCTTTTTGAGATGTGCTTTTAGAATACATAATAATGAATTTAGCTCTAGCTTGAAATTTAAACTCAAGTGCGAATGTTTATCTACTTTTTTAGAGAACAAGCATACCATGAAGGAAAAAGTAAAATTCAATGGACTCAAAGGCTCTGAATTACAAAAACAAAAACAAAAACAAAAACAAAAAACCACAAAAGCACAAAATGGTACTTACTATAAAAGTATCTGGAAAATACAATTGTTCCAGGTGAGATAAATGGCAAAGATTATCCTTGAGTTAATAAAAGCCACTGATCTTTACCCCCATGGACTCCTAGAATGAGGGACTAATAATTATCACCCTTCTCTCACATATTTTAAATTGGGTGGTTCCTGGCTGGCACAGTGGCTCACGCCTGTAATCCCAGCACTTTGCAAAGCTGAGGCAGGCAGATCATCTGAGGTCAGGAGTTCGAGACCAGCCTGGCCAATGTGGTGAAACTCCATCTCTACTAAAAATACAAAAATTAGCCAGGTGTGGTGGCAGGTGCCAGTAATCCCAGCTACTCAGGAGGATGAGGCAGGAGAATCGCTTGAACTCGGGAAGTGGAGGTTGCAGTGAGTGGTGATCGCACCACTGCACTCCAGCCTGGGCAACAAGAACAAAACTCCAACTCTAAACAAATAACATAAAATAAATTGGGAGATTTCAACATGACTGCTGCCACTCTAATAGCATAGGAATCACATGGTGGCAAGTGACAAAAGACAGGGTCTAGGTCAGGTAGAGCCAGAGCAAAGATAATCCAGGAGATTGCTCCTAGTCCAGAACACCACAGAGCAAAGCCAGGGACATATTAAAATGGGAGATACCATAGCTCAGGTAGAAGTGAAGGACCCAGAAGTAAGCAAAAAATTCACATGGAAACTATGAGGAAAGGACAAAATAGGGTTATTAGAGAGAAAAAAGTCTTTTCACAATTGAAGGACAGGGGTGGAAGAAAGTATTTTAGAGACCATGCTACCACTTCAAGTTGTTATAGGAAAAAAATGTTAAAACAGGGCCCTGCCAGAGTTGTTCTTCCTCTTTTTCTGCCTTTTTATCCCTCTCACACTTAATTTTGGTTAAAATAATAAATCTTTCTTCTTCACTACTAAGGAAATATGGTAAAAAGTGGGTAAGAAAGGACTGGTGTTTTGTCTTTTCATTGATACTTATTACAATTTCTACAGTCTCACAGTTAATCATGCTCAGTGAATTATGATTAACCTTAGTTCAGGGTAGTACTTTTTCTCAGTCAATTCTCAATGGCTGGAATTAAAAATTTTCCTCCCTATTAACAGCTCTCTGAGCTACATATAGCATAGCCCTAAAATCTTTAGTTAGGAATAGAAAATTTTAATTATGAAAAGGAAAAATACTACAAATAATAGTTTTTTTTTTTTTTTTTTTGAGACAGAGTTTCACTCTTGTTACCCAGGCTGGAGTGCAATGGCGCGATCTTGGCTCACCGCAACCTCCGCCTCCTGGGTTCAGGCAATTCTCCTGCCTCAGCCTCCTCAGTAGCTGGGATTACAGGCAACACGCCACCATGCCCAGCTAATTTTTCGTATTTTTAGTAGAGATGGGGTTTCACCATGTTAACCAGGATGGTCTCGATCTCTTGACCTTGTGACCCACCCGCCTCGGCCTCCCAAAGTGCTGGGATTACAGGCGTGAGCCACCGCGCCCGGCCCAATAGTTTTAAAAAATCTCTGTTATTCCTATTGTTCACTGCTTTTTGCATAAACAAGAGCTAACTACATCATTATTTTATGACCAAAGAAACTCAAAAGATAATGACTGCATCAGTTTTGAAGAATTATTTAGAACTAAGCCATGGAAGAACTCAGAGGAAATCAAGGTTTCTACTCTAACCCAGAAACATTAAAACACTTAGAAGTGTTTCCTGGAAACATTAAAACACTTAAAATTTTGGGTTTTCTCTTCTACAAGCTAAAAGTATTGGTCTAACGTAGGTACTCACTCGAAAAATGTGCCCACCAGAACCTCTTCCGTCTGCAACACTCAAGGCAAGACTGCCCTGGCTGCCATGCAGATCCCTAGAGCTGCCATAGTGAAAACTGCTTACAGCAGTAAAATTGGAATTAAAGGACCTTGACAGCATGCTCTGAATAAAGAGGGGACAGAGTTAACAGAGATTAGTGTAGCATGCAAAATCCACAAGACATGTTATATATGTAGACTTATTCACAAGTAACCCCAAAACCAGAGAAGTATCATGCAACACTAAATTTTCAGAGCCACTGAAAGAAATTGGAACCATTTACCATGTATTTACATGACAACATACACATATACACAAATTACATGTAAATACAACCATTCACATGTTTAAGCAAAGGAAGAAAGTACAGACACGTAACTGCTTTTAGAATGCTATTTCCTTTACTCCTAACACATCTTGTATATGTCAAAAAAAAAATAGGAATTGACACCATATGCAGTGTATATGTATCTAAAGTCATACATAGAACATAAACTAATTTCTCTATCTAAAGATAAATTTTACCAACAACCAGTAATTCTAAGTGAAATGAATTTTTAGAGATTCTATTTCACTTTATGAAAATTCTAACATATTAAACTGAGCATTTAAATATACATACCACAGCACAAAATGTATTTGTAAAAATACCATTTCAATTTCTTTTTTAAGAGGTAGACTCCCACTATGGAATACAACAGGATGCTCCTGGCTCACTGCAGCTTCAAACTCCTGGGATCAAATGATCTTGCCTCAGCCTCCTGGGTAGGTAGGACTATACGTCCTCATCACCACACCTGGCTAATTATTATTATTTTTGTAGAGACGAGGTGTCACTACACTTGTCCAGGGTGGTCTCAAACTCCTGCCTTTAAGCAATCCTTTTGCCTCAGTCTCCTAAATTGCTGGGATTATAGGTGTGAGCCACTGTGCTTGACCACATTTCAATTTCTAAAAATTATCTTCCATATTTAGAAAAATATCTTGCAATAGAAAATAGTTTTAACATACACAAATTTATGTTATACCCTTTTTTATTTTTTAAAGAGACAAGGGTCTTGCTATGTTGCCCAAGCTTGTCTCAAATTCCTGGGCTCAAGCCATCCTCCTGCCTCAGCCTCCTGAGTAGCTGGAACCATGGGTGTGCACCACCATGCCTGGATAATTTTATTTTTTATAGAGACAAAGTCTCACCACATTGCCCAGGCAGGTGGATATAACTTTTAAAATGCTCCTGTTGCTCTACAATTACAAGAAGAAGAAAATGAGAAAATGTGTGGAAAATTTTCCCCAAATAAACTGGTATTAATCACTGTATTTTAGGAGTTGGTGGCCTTTGCTGCTTAAATTTGAAGAGCCATTGATGGAATACTCTCACAAACTGAGTTCATATAATACCTAATTGCTAATCCCAGAACTGCCTGAAATGCACTGCCTGATTCCCACTGTTTTACTTGTTTATTCCCAGCTTCCTGAACTGCTTTTCTTTCATGTGAGTGCTTTTGGTCATATCCCTGAGTACTGAGGGCTTAGTGGTCAAACTGGAGAAACCACATTTTGAGCATGACTTGTTATTAAGAAATACAGAAATATTGTAACAAGCATTTCTGTATTACTCTTAGCAAATATATTCCTTCTCAAATTTTTGAAGTTGACATCTAATACCAAGAAACATTACAGGATTCCAGAAAGGAAAGGATCTATAAAATTACCACGTATACTTCCAGTTATTCTGTGAATTTTAAGTAATGACTAAATAAAAAGCTGAACTTATAGCCCAGATCTGCATTTTCCCAAATCACTTCAACAAAGATAATGATTTAACAGAGGCAATTTGGAGGTTTCAAAAACACTTGATTGGAAAAAAAAAGAAAATCATTCATACATACATACAGACACACACATTTGTTATCCAGAGCGCTTTAATGTGTTACTGACTCAGGTAGCCTGATTAACCCTTTTAATGATATACAGAACTTGCAGAAAAGCTTTCTCTGTCATCTCCAAACATATGAGCTTACTATAAATATTTCACTGACAAATAAGGCTGAAGCTCAAAACAGGTCCGGTTTTAAATTCAGGTTTGTGCACAGACATCCACATAAAACTGCTCGCTGTCATAACACCTTGTGCAGAGCTCAATTAAATGCTAGACATAATGTCCTGAGCAACATTGTGCATTACATGCTGGTAGTTGTCTAATAAAAAGTGAATGTAACACTTACCATGTTGTGTTAATCATATTATTTGAGTTCTCATAAAGAATATTAGTAAATGCTGATAGTAACCATTCAACTTGGAAATAAAAAGTTCTTATTCCTTTTCAAATTTTGCTTATTAGTTTAATTAAATTAATTTTGAGATTTTCAAGGTGACATCTACTTTCTATTTTTGGTTTCCAGATATAGTTTTGCTTTTTTTTTTGTTTTGTTTTGGCAGTGGGAGGCGTGACTATTAATAGGTCTGAAAACTACTTAAGCTTCAACAGATTATTATTACTCTCAGTTGAGCAAAGTAGCTTTTAATTTGGGGACTTATCTCATGAGGCAGGGCAGGCATTGTGAAAGCCCCCAGGGAAAATTTGCACATGTCTATTTAGCCATCAGAATTAAGATGGTGGGTGTAAAGGAGTGAATAGAGATTCTCCATCATCTTCTACCACTTTGAACCAATTCTGTGAAGTCTGGAGTCTAAATTCTGCTGCTATTAAACTAGTTAATTGTAAATATATGTATATAGCACTTACAATATGCTTATAATGCCCACACATTTTGACTATATTATCTAATACCTAAGAGCATGAATGTAGCACAAAGTAGCTTCTATAAATAAAACAGGGACAATTTTCAGAACCACATTACATGATATTAGACTTTTTTGAACATATGAAAATAAAGTATCCCCACACTATAGACTTACAGAAAGAGTTAATTTTCACTGGCAAATTACTCAAATTATGCTTCATTAAGGATTATTTTTATTGAATAAAATTATTTTTAGGTGAATGGGGTAGAATCATGTTAAACCACTCTCAGACAACTCAAAAGAACCATATCTAACATTATATAACCTAAAGTACTATATCTGCACAGGAAGTAACAGTGGCTTCACTTTATTTAGTCAACTTGAAATTTTTCCCACCAGCTTTTAGAGTTGTTCCCTCTCCTTCACATAGCATATATATCATCCTGGGAAAATTACTTTATTATTCTGTGCCTAAATTTCCTTATTACAAAATGAGATAATAAATAAATGATGCTGGTTCACATACAAAGTAAAACACACACACACACAGACACACAGGTCAAGATCAATCTTTGAAAATCTCTGAAACCACTCAGAATATACAGTTTTATTTATAGACCCCATATAGTAAAGTTTGAAAACCACTGACCTAGGTTAAAGGAAGAACAAAGGTATATCTAGGTACAAGTTAGTTATTCAAACCATCCTGCCTTAAGATAACAAATTTCTAGCAGTTAATGGTAGGCAGGACGGGGAAAGATACCCAACTCTTAAGTATGTACGTATCACTGAATTGGAATGAAGACCAGATATCCCAAATCAGAAACCTTGGCTACCTCTTGAATATTTTCTCTTATTCAATCCCTAAAACTAAATAACTGTAACCCAAGTGTTTTTCAGACTCAACACCACTAGAGCTGAAACCCTAGCTCAAGAATCCGTTATTTGGCTGTTTTACTATTGAAACTGTTTCCTAAACCTACTTGTTATCAATTCATCCTGAACCCTTTTCCCAAGGAGATCCTAAAATACTCTATCTGCTCAAGAAATAATAGTGGCTCTCTATTGTTTATTGTGTCAACTTGAAATTCTTCTGATAGGCTTTAAAGTCCTTTTCTCTCCACTACATAGCACACATCATCCTGGGAAAATTACTTAACTCTTCTGTGCCTAAATTTCCTTGTGGTAAAATGAGATAATAAAAATATCACACAGGACTCATGTGAATTGAAAAACATTTGTACGGCAAAGTAATTTTACAGTGTTAGTTCTGGCACTTTGTAAATACTAAATAAATGGAACTGTTAGATATTATGACTAATATCCATAATCTGGCCCAAACTTTATTATCAAATGTTCTCAAAATAAATCTCTAATTCAACCAGGTTAAACTCCTTGTCTCTCTCTGCTCTCAGAACTCCTTCTTGATATAACTTTTATCTTTACCTATTAATCTTAATCCTATTTATCAAAATTTTGTTTTTCAAAAAGCAGTTTCTTGAATAAGCCCATCTTCTGTGACTACTCTTGCATTTGTCATGCCATTTTATCTTTCAAAATGAAAACATTTTAGAAATTTATCAAAAAGTCTCCAAATTTCATCACATATAATTACTAGCAATACATTAAATTTTCATCTTTTGAACCACAGTTATTTCCTGAATTATGAAATAATTTACTGAACTACATTTTCTGAAGAGAATGACTGATAATGAAATCATGAAGTATCAAATTGTGTTTGTGTATGTATGTATAAATACGAATGTCTCTATTGACATTTTATTGGTATTGTTTTGACAGATAAATATATAAAAAAGAAATATTATTCAAGATCATCATCCTTGATAAATAGGTATTTAAAACAAAGTTTTGTAATCTAAACATACAGAGACTATCTTCACTTTCTAAAAAGACCTTAATCTTTGATATAAGAAATCTGTTTATATTTTAAAATTAGGAACTATATTTAAAATTTTAAGAAAAACACAATTATTTTACCATCATAAAATAACCTACTGCGCAATAAAGGATTTGATTGTTTAAAACAAATATAATCAGCTGATAATTCTTTTTTAATATTTAAAAGATGGTGATGATGATGAGGGAGACAATAGCAATAAACACTTATTTAGCAATTAGTTATGTATGTCAGGTACCATTCTAAGTGCTTTGCATGTATTAACCCATTTAGTTTTTAAACAATCCTGGTAGTTCCTTTCATTGCACCTAATATACACATGAAGTAACCAACATAAGGAAAGTCAAAGTTACTTGTCCAAGTAGCTAACTGAGCAGCAGAGCTAGGATTCTGAAATGTTAAGACTAAAATGTCTAACTGCTTTTTTGAAAAAAATTTAAAAAGTAAAAAATTCTTTAAAAATTTAAATTCTTTTTAAAATGTGGTTTATAAAACATGAATCCATTTAAAATAAAACTTTCACATACGTTAAGTAATTAAGCAGTCTCACATATGAATACTTTTTAAGAACTGACAGGCACACATAGCATACATTTTAGAAAGACATGGAGAATAAAATACTCTAGAAGGAATATAGTAGAGCTACAGTAACGGCAGGATATATACTTTGGTATTTGCTAGAAGTGCTTCCCAACAGATGACCTAGGATACACTACAGTGTAGTCAACTAGTAGTCTGGAAGGCAGGCGTCTGGGCACGCATACGATGAGAGAAGAAGCACCCCTCATAACTTCAAAGTGTGATATCCTTGGAAATGGGAGTTATCAGCTGCAGGTTCGTGTTCAGGCACAGTTTGACCCGTTTCTTTTCTCACAAGGGTTCTCTTTAGTTTCAATCAATTAATTCACACCTCTAAATTACCAGTGGACACAACTGAGAAACTACTGCCATATACTCTTCAAGAAACTGTACCAGGAATTTCAAAATATGTAAATATTTTAGGCAATTAAAAAAAAGCTGAGTGGCACACTGAACAACGAGATAGTTACTACTTGCTTCTTATTTACCCAGGTATATCTCTGTCAGACATTAAAGAAGTAGGAGAACAGCCACATAAGATGTAAACCACACAGAACATAAAAACCGAACTCATCCCTTCTTCCAAATCTCCTACTCCTCTCTCTATGCTCAGTAATAGCTAAAGACATTCCCAACAACCAGTCATTCAAGGCACAATAATCTCAAGCTTTATCCCTTTTCCTTTCTGATTATAGGAATATTCAATCAGAAGTAAATTCTTATAAAGTCTATTTCAGAACTCTCTCTTGAACTCATTTGTCTTAACTCCACTGCTAACAGTTCACATTTCATTTTTATCTACATCATTAAATAGCATAACTCAATCTCTTTGACTATAGCCTCTAAAATGTAGTTTCACACCATCACCAGAAATTTATTTATAAAACATATCTGCTTAAGAAATTTCCAAGTGCTTTAGAAAAAGCACACAAGTTCAAATAGCCTCAACAGTGTGTACAGAATTACTAGCTGAAATAAAATGGATAGATGAGAATGAAGTAGCCTAATGCTTATGAATGTTTACCAATTTAAAGTTTACTTAAAGTTGAGAGGACTGCACTTTTAAAAAGAACAATTATAGGCTAACATTTCATGTAAACTTATATGAAATACAAATCATATATTTTAGGCATGTATTTCTGAAAATTTTATTTAAGACATTCTTTTAAATGGCTTCTTGAAGTTCCAGAACATATGTTAGGCCAGGCACAGTTGCTCATGCCTGTAATCCCAGCACTCTGAGAGGCTGAGGCAGGCAGATCACGGGGTATGGAGTTCGAGACCAGCCTGGCCAACAGAGTGAAATCCTCTCTCTACTAGAAATACAAAAAATAGCCAGGTGTGGTGATGTACACCTGCAGACCCAGCTACTCGGGAGGCTGAGGCAGGAGAATCGCTTGAACCCGGGAGGTGGAGGTTGTTGTGAGCCAAGATCACGCCTCTGTACTCCAGCCTGGGCAACAGAGTGAGACTCTGTCTTTAAGAAAAAAAAACAACAAAAAAAAAGAACACATTTTATATTTAATAAGCAAAGAAAGATAATGCTTGGGTAAAATCTAGTCAGTAAATATAAAGTTACATCTTAAAGAATATCATGCCTTGTACACTCAGGCCACATGACTATGGCACTCATATTGGTTTTACAAGGATATATATATTTATAAATGTGTGTGTGTCTGTGTGTGTTTGTATTTACATTTTTAACTCCTTTCAACAGATGAGTACCTACACATAAAATTATAAACTGAACAGCAGCATTAGTTATTTAACCAACTATTGCTAAGCCACTCTAGAGCCACAGAAACACTTAACTGAATTTAAGTAGGTCAGAAATGCAGAAATTCAGAAAAGTTAAGAATAAACGCCATGCCAGAAGCCATCTGTGTCAGTGACAATGTTAGTTCATATACTGTGGACTGGGGAAAAAAATATTAAATGAAATAATTACATTTGCAATTCATTTTTTGTTATTCTGTTAACTATATAAACTATTTTTCTATAATATTTAAATAATCAACAATTATTAATAGAAAAGGTCAATGCTAAACAGAGGCAAATGTATATTTAGTGTGTGTGCACAATCTAAAAGAGATACACTTATAAGCGTATAAAATAAATACATTTCTGTTAGAAAGAGTGGGGTGTAAAGGAGAGGATAGAAACACAGATTATTATCCAATTGTCCTGGCTGAGTTTAAATTCGGAACTCTATCCCAGTACCAGGAAAAAAAGACACCTAGAATATAAAGAGATAATCAGTAATTCAGAGTACCTTGCTTCATCTTATTTAGAAAACAAAGAATGCCAATTATTTTTAAGGAAAATAATTAAGTTCATAAAGAAAAGAGTGAAAAACTCATGTCCAATTACCTTTTCTAACTTTTTGGCCTCAATATGTCGAAGTACCTGTTCTCTCCAATCATGAGGAACTTTACTTTTTCCTGGAGGATCTAATAAAGAATGCTCAGAACCAACCCTCGCATTTGGTCTCTTTGAAGGACTAGTCCGTGAATAATTGAAATCACTAACTGACATAGTTCTCTCTGGTATTTCATTAACAGAGGGTCGAGCACTCTGAGGCCTTGATGCATTCGGACCATCAATGCTGTATGTTCGTGCAGAAAGAGGTCTCTGTGATCCTGGCATCATTGGAGGAGTTCTTCCCACTGAGTGGAACTCTCTGTATGATAAATAATCTCCTTCAGGAATCTGGGCCCGCCTTGTAGGACCTGGATCACCAAGATTTACAGAGGCTGTGGAGGACACACTACTTTGTCGCTGAATTGTACTTCGAGTTACTGCAGGAATGAGTCGGTCATTTGGTGAGATGGCCCACATTTCCCCATGTCTCGCTGAGCCAAGTCTCTGATGTAAATGGTATGCAGTATTAGCTCGCACATTGTTATGATTAGAGAAATTCATATTGGCAGAATGTTTAGCATAACTTTGATTTTCTGTGCTCTCTGATCTAGGAAGGCGCTGAGGCGGAAAACTGGCATGATCTATTTGGGGATTTTGTTTGGAGTGCCACAAAGTGTCTTTGACTGCAGCATTGCTACTGTATTGGATATTATACTGTGGAGGACCATATATTTGAGGTGTAGATTGTGGGCCAACTGTGGGGCCTCTTATTATATTTGGCTCTTCGGCATTATGATTTGAATCAAACTTGAAAATTGCTTTTGTTCCTGAAATTAAATCAGAAGATGAAGAAGAACCGGTAAATACCTGCAATGGTTGATCACACAACAATGTGGCAGACTTGCTCCTGACTATATTTTTTCCATCGACAGCAGATGTGATTTTAACTGTTGTATTTGGCTGCTGAGGTCCATTATCACTAAGAATGTCATAGATTTTTAGCCCTCCAATTTCCATATTAGTTATGCTATGAGATTTCACAACAGATCCAACTGGACCACTTTTCTGAGGGGAGAGATCTTCAGTGCTTTTGGAAATACCTAAGTCAACAGAACAATCAGTGTCAAGTCGTTCAGTCCTATTAGGAGACTGTGAAGTTTCCTCAGAGTGTCCATTTACCTTATTTACGGATTCCAGATTAGGATACTTATTTCCATTTTCCAAGTGCTGAGTTTCCTCTTTAGAATTAATGCTTAAAAAGTCTGTTCCAAGCATGATATCCTGTGTTTTTGATCTTTCCATGATCTCTGGTTGAAATGTATCATTAGTTATAAGCTTATTAAGATTCATATTGATGTGATCTAATTTGTGAGTGTCATCAGCTGTGGCTGTTGAATCAACACTTTTCTCAATTAGAACTAATTGCTCTTCAATATTCAAATCATATTCAGGTAAGTTAAAATCTTTTTTATCATGAGCTTTGAACTCTTCCTCTGTTGAATTGTTTAAAATATCTCCATTTTGTAAAAGGCTGTTAAAATTTTCATCTTCTTGCCTAAAATAAAGATAATTTTATGAAAAACATAATAAAGCCAAGTTTTCTTAGTAACAGGGAACATTAATAAATAGTTAAATTGTATAGGTAGAAAAGTTGATAAAAGGCATTTACTATCATGTAATTTAAAAATATTATCTTAATATAGCTTTATATTCAGTTAGAGACAAGTAATACAATTAGAATTCATAGATAATACCAAAATTAATTTTCATCAATACACTCAGTCACAAAATAATTTAAAGGACTTAACTATGAACAAAAATGGAATTATTAATCTTTGCTACATCTTTTCATGAATGTGCAAAAAACTGAAATGCTTGATGGAGGGCAGATATATGGAGAGAAAACTAGTAACATGAATAGTGGAGTCATGAGCATAGGATAATTTTACAGTTAATTTTGAAGCTTTACATTATTAACCAAATTAACCATAGTTAACTAAGTACATAGTTGTTATCACATTCAAATATATAGGTAAGAAAACTGTACAAAGCAAAGAAGTGAATAATTGTCCAAAGTTTTACATAAAATATGTAAAAGGCATAAAAAGAAAAATGAAGTCTAGTCACTCTTCTAAGTAGCTAGCTGTATTTGGCAAATACTTCTAAATATGTCATTCCAAAATTATAGAAAATATTTTATTTTTACCTGGTGGTATTGAACATATTTGTGCCCTCTTGTATACATATTCAAGTTATGTTTCCACAAAAATTCCCTAATACTGGTTTTCCCATTATAAAAAAGATAACTTTCATTACCAGAAATACAGCACAAAAAGGTGTTGCTGTACTTCTTGCTTAGGCTTTATTTCATTATATTAAAAGCAGAATTTAGAAAATACACTTTCTCAACGATAAATAAATAGAATTTTATTATTCAACAAATTAATATTATAACATCTAGGAGGTTATAAAAATTAGTATTTTAAACAGTAGCTCATAGCCTCACATTCAAATAGAAAAAAAATGACTGATTGTGATTATACAATATCTGAACTCATCTTAGGGCATAAAATTCATCTCACTTTTCCAAAAACACACATTAATAAACAAATTTTACTTAAATACGTCTGAAATTTAAGAACAACTATAAATAATTGTTAAAATTTTCCATACATCTAACTTTTGGTTTAGTAGTAACGCCAATCTCTCTTTTTTTGAGACAGGGTCTCATTCTGTCACCCAGGCTGGAGTGCAGTGGCCTGATCATGGCTCGCTGCAGCCTAAACATCTCAGGCCCAAATTATCCTCCCACCTCGGCTTCCTGAGTAGTTGGTACTACAGGCACATGCCAACATACCTGCTTAATTTTTTTTATAGATTCATAGTTTCACCATTTGCCTAAGCTGGTCTTGAACTCCTGAACGCAAGCAATCTACCCACCTTAGCCTCCCAAAGTGCTGGGATTACAGGTGTTCCACCACATCGAGCCAACCCCAATTTTTTTTTTTTTTTTTTTTTTGAGACAAGGTCTAATTCTGTCACCCAGGCTGGAATGTGGTGGTATGATCAGGGCTCATGGCAACTTCCACCCCCCACCTCAGCCTCCCAGGTAACTGGTTCTACAGGCATGTACCACAATACATGGCTAACTTTTGTATTTTTTTTTGGTAGAGACTGGGTTTCACCATGTTGCCCCGGCTGGTCTCGAACTCCTGGGCTCAAGCCATCCTGTTTCAGCCTCCCAAAGTGCCAGGATTACAGGCTTGAGCCACTGCATCTAGCCCAGCCAACTCTCATCTTTCTAACAAGCAGAGTTTAGCTGATAGGATAACACTGTGGTAGAATGGCAGGGCCTTACTCTGATAACCAAATTTTTTCTTTTTTTCTTTTTTCTTTTCAAACCCATAGCCAACATTACAGACAACCAACTTTCTCAAAAGCCTAAACAATAAAATGTGTTTTAGACTTCAGCTAAATTCCAGGCTACTCAAATTAACATTTATCTGTGAGTGTGTCCTACAGAATTAAGACTAAGTCAAATATACAACACCAGTCAAGAGTATTTGAACCTCTTTTTTTTTTTTTGAGATGGAGTTTCACTCTTATTACCCAGGCTGGAGTGCAATGGCGTGATCTCGACTCACCACAACCTCCGCCTCCTGAGTTTAAGCAATTCTCCTGCCTCAGCCTCCTGAGTAGCTGGGACTACAGGTGTGTACCACCATGCCCTGCTAATTTTTGTATTTTTAGTAAAGATGGGGTTTCACCATGTTGACCAGGATGGTCTTGATCTCTCGACCTCATGATTCACCTGCCTTGGCCTCTTAAAGTGCTGGGATTATAGGCATGAACCACCGTGCCTGGCTGAGTATTTGAACCTTCTAATGACAGCCCTCCAAAATGATTCTGCATTTCTAACTATAAAAATACTCCTTTCAACTTAAATTACCTCAACTATGCTGTTTATGTTGCCATATCTAAAAATTATATAAATATTCAACTTTTTAATCAAGAGACTGAGAATCTAGTCTATCCTTCCCATTTAAAAATCTAATTTAGAATGGAAATATATAAAAACTAAATAGAAAATCAGCAATAAAAATGGGAAAGAAAACATATTACTGGAACCACTTCTATAATATTTATTTATGAAACCCTTTATGTTTATGTATTTGTTACCTGCCTTACCACTTCTATTTATTGTACAAATGAAAAATCATAAAAGATGCTCACATACCTGATTTTGGAATTCATATCAATATGAGTTTGTTTCACTGGAGAGCAGAGTGAGGTGTCTTGACTACTATCAGTATTAAGAGAAACTGAATCAGACATCCGAGACGGAGAAGAACAATTGCTATTATTCTGATTGCTATTGTGTGTAACTTCATCCGATAAAGAATCTGTTTCCTTTGTATCATCTGAAACAAAACAAATTTAAGATCAATGATAAATTAGCCAAGAATTTTGTGAAATGCTTTTCAGTGATGACAAATGGCAATTATACTGTCCTGGTTCTGTATGAGGTAATAAATTATATTTATAAGATGATCAGAGGCACCCTGAAAAGTCAATCCTAATACAAAGATTAAAGAATTTTTAAATGGCGATATCATTTTTTAAAAGTAACCAATGTTGGAGTTACTAAGAATTTGATTTAGTTACTGACAAGGTGATATTACGTACTGTTTTCTAAGGTCAGTTCGTTTCAGTAAGTATACTTTTCACCCATTTACAATTTTAAAAACTGATAATAAAAACATAGATTATAACCTTGGTAAACTTATCTGGGTAAGAAATTATTTTATACATATAAGGAATTTTTTGCCATCTACTCTGATAATAATAAGCTGTCAATCCACAAACACACAATCACTTAACAATCAAGGGATTTTCAAAGGTCAGATCTTTCATTTCTTAATGTTTTTAATAAAACATTTCATAGACTTGTTATGAATGGTAAACTCTCAATATGTGAGGCGGTTGTGTGTACAGCAATTATATGAACAGAGACAGAAGTGTTCATATTCTGTAATAGACAGGTAGTATAAAAAGTAGTATTTTTTCAAAGTAGTGCTAAAAAGGTTGTTTTTAACTAACTCAATTCTAGCCAAATCATGGAAACAGTGTATACAGACATATCCATAGAAGATTATATGAATTATGGATATCTTTGATGTTCTGAGACCTTAGGAGCAGAGATCAAGTAGTTTGGATTGTATTTACAGTTGACTAGTAGCAAATGGGACTCTGTAACTTTGATCTCAAGGTATTCAGGTTTTGGGTTCTTAACTTTTAAAATATCATTAAAATAGATGGTTAAGTTCTTTCTTAGATACACTCCTTTTCCTCCTCCTTATCATGGGGGCTACTGTGACAACTAGAAAATAACACGTAAAATATTCAGCATAGTACCTAAGCAATTAGTGCTCAACCAATTTATCATTACTACAAGTATTATGAACCCGAGCTATCTAAGCACCACCTTGATAATAAGCATCACTGATGTCTTAAGACAAAAGGCTAAACATTTGAGGAAGATGATGTAAAGATACTCAGGTGCTGGAGGGGAGGGGTGAGGGAATGGACAGATACCCTTCAAGATCCATTTTATCTCTAAGAGTCTGAGATTCTCTTATATGAAAAATGGCTGTCAGAGGTTGGATAGAGTGTAAAAAAATGTTTTGCAACAGAATGAAAATAACGAGCACCTACATCAGGTACTATGCTGAAAGATACATTATTTAGCCCATTTGATGCAAACTCCTTCATTAGCCTCATTGTATGTCAAATCAGATATGTACACATGGATAAAACTGAGTGACTCAAGGATCACACAGCAGGTAAGTGGCAGAAATGAAGTTACAATCTAGGCTTATCTATCTGTGAAGTCCATGCCTTTATAAGTAAATATGCATGAGGGAAAAGAAAAGACTATCAAAGCCTTTCTCTAAAAATGTGAGGAAAGGAAACAACCTTTCAGAAAGCCATGTCTAAAAATTTGTTTCTAAAATGTTTCAAATAACATAGTATTAAATGAAATTTATTCCAAAAGAATTATAAATTTTATTCAGGCAATTTCTCTTCTTGGTACTTTCCTTCAACATCTAACCTTTTTTGTTATTACTAAGTGCTACGACTTTTGGCTGGTTAATAGAGGTTTCAATTAATGGTGGTCGCATCTCTGCCATTTTCATCTCTTCATCAGAAGAAAGTTCTTCAGATTCCTAGTCAAAAGGGGAGGGAAGGAGATCAAAAATTAAATTTTTGTTTCTTCAAATAAATATTAAGTCATAAGACTTTTAAAGGGATAACAAATATTACAAACACATATTAAACCTTTTCAAAATATGGTCATAAAACATAACTAGTCCTTCCAAGCCTGTTTGTACTCTTGGCACCTCTATCCTGTTCATGGCATCATTACCCTAATCAAGCATTAGGATATTGTTTTCTCTATTGCCTTCTTTATACTGAGATATTCATGTGATGCCTCTAGAACATTAAGTGCAAACTTCTTAGCTTGGCTTTCAAGAGCCTTCGTAATCAGAGCCCAATCTACTCTACTGATCTTATTTCATAATATTGCCTCTGTCTTATTCAGTAAGATAAAATATTATTTTCCGTATGTTCCACATGCCATTCTTTGGCTCTCATCATTCCTTCTCCATTTCATTCCATTCTCCTGTATCTGTGAATTAAAATCTTTCAAAACACAGTTCAAATGCCCCCGTCTCCTTAAAGCAGCCATAAATCTTCTAAATTTCTGTAACACTTAGTACTTTTCTTACACACTCAGCACAGTTTATCCTTAATTGTATTTATTTGCATTCATTTAAATCCCTAAATTCACTTACTCATTCTGTCACCATACCTTCAAACACAGTGCCTTACACATAGAAATTACACTAAATGAGGCATACGTTGTGATAAACCTAATAATTTTTTGACAGCTTTTGCTACATTAGCTTCAGTGCATACCATAGTGTATTGAGTGACATTAACCATCATTTTTTAAAAAAAATTATTCCTATTGTAAATGACAGCTCATAGGATAACCAGGAACAGTTATAGCTGGTGTGCTTTGAATGCATTTTGAATTTTTAAGGATAAAGATGTATTTACTTAAAATAGCCAACTGGAGCTAGTATATACTATAGTGAACAACACAGCTATAAATCAGAACCACTTCAGATATTCATATTAAAAAGTTACAGCTTCACCATTTTACATTACCACCAGCAGTATATGAAAGGAATATAAAATGGTGCAATCATTTTTCATTTATGAAAATATATATCCACACAAAAACCTGTACATAAATATTCATTGCAGCCCTACTCATTACAGCCAAAAAGTGGAAGTAACGCAAATGTATATTAATTGAAGAATGCATAAACAAAGTATGGATACATACAATGCAGTATTATTTGGTCATAAAAATGGACACTGTATTGATGTAAGCTATAACACAGATAAACTTGAACACATTATGCTAACTGAAACAAACCAGGCACAAAAGACCACATATTATATGATTCCACTTATATGAAATGTCAAAAACAGTCAAATTTATAGAGCCATATAAAGTATGTTTTTGGTTGCCTAAGGATGAAGGGGATAAAGAATAAGGAGTAACAGTTAAGGAGTACAGGATTTCTTTCTGGGTTGAGAAACATGTTGTAAAAGTGATTGTAATAATGGCTGCACAATTTACTAAATATACTGAAAGCCACTGAATTGAATACTTTAAATGAGTAATTTGTATGATACGTGAGTTATATCTTGATAAAGCTGTTTTTTTTTAAAAAGTTCTTGCTTTTATTGATCCACTAGAGAAACCACATCAAAGTCTCAGATATTCAACCAAAAAAACCCTTCACATTCAATGATAAATGCATAAATCAGTTAAATAATTAGATATTAGTCTTTTCAAGTTACAGAAATAAAAGCAATTATGTATTTTACAGTAGACTAGACCATCCATATATAATTTGCATAAACATCTGAATACAAAGGGCATAATAATTGTAAGTTTAAAGTGATAAATGTGATATTTTTGCAGATATAAAATTTCTCGATGACAAATGCATTAACATAATGCATTTTCTATAATCAATATCAGGTTTTTAACAACAATAAAATACAAATTGAAAGTTCTTATACTTACTCCAGAATAATCATAATATCATACCTCAAAAACATCATCATGGTTAACAATATGCTTCAAGTTCTCAGAGGCTTTCATATTCGCAGTCACTGGTAAACTCCCAGGACTAATCTCAGCTTCAGGTTCACTGATCTTCTGTATAGAGTTCCCTATCATACACTTTTCTCTTTCATCAACTTCGCTTTTTACTGTAGTTGTACTTTCTGAGGTCTAAGTAAAAGATAAAGAGTTCATATTCTTTAATTTTTATATTTTTGAAGTTCAGATAAAAATTTGTAAGCAATCTGCCAACTTCCAATTCTGTACAAATCTCAAACAAGAAAACTTTAAACATAGAAACCTGAGGCACTAACAGATAAAATGCTCATTTTGGGAGCACATGGTCCCCAAAGATCCATGAGCCACATTAAAATGTAAAACTCAGCCAAGGTTACTTTCCTCTTAGAAGCTGCAAGGCTTCTAAGTGTGGACAACTGAGTTACTTAGCTCAGCACACTTAACTCCAGATGGTTAAAACTGTTTTCTGTTCATTGTGGACTGTATAGTAACTCCAATGACATGGTAAAACTTTTGTTTCTGTGATATAGTATGTGTGTGTGGGGCGAAGTCCTAGAGGTATATACCATTCAGGGATTTGTGAAAGTTTCTGAAATATCCCAAAGAAATGCCAAATGTCTATTACTGCAATTACATTTAAAAAGAGAATGGGATAAAATGGCCAAATATTACTGGGGGAAAAAATTTCATAACAATGATTTTTCTGACATTCATTATCTTCTTTGTTCAATTTTTTCAAAGGCTACGCTGACACTACCCTGCCAACTGGACATTCTATAGCCAGAGAGTGGTAATCACAGTAATCAGAGAGTTAACTGCTTATTATGGTTTCCCAGTTCAGGTAGCTGAGAACAAACCATAAATTTGTTAAGTTCAGTCATGTGGCACTTAACGGTGACACATTCTGAGAAATCTGTTGGGTGACTTTTTTCATTCTGTGAACATCATGGAGTTTACTTACATAAACCCACAGGTTATGGCTTACTACATATGTAGCCTGCATGATACAGCCCAGGCATCCCCAGACTTTTTACACAGGGGGCCAGTTTACTGTCCCTCAGACTGCTGGAGGGCCGCCACACACTGTGCTCCTCTCACTGACCACCAATGAAAGAGGTGCCCCTTCCTGAAGTGTGGCGTGGGGCCAGATAAATGGCCTCAGGGGGCCGCATGCGGCCTGCGGGCCATAGTTTGGGGATGCCTGATATAGCCTATGGCCTTTAGGCTACAAACCTGTATAACATGTTACTATACCAAACAGTGCAGGCAATTCTAACGTAATAAAAAGTTATTTGTGTATGCAAAGGTATCTGAATATAGAAACGTTGTGTTATGATGCCATTAGACTATAGGATTTTTTTTTAGCTCCATTATACTTTTCTTCTGTTTTTGAAACAGGGTCTCACTCTGTGCCCATGCTGGAGCGGTTTGACGTGATCATAGCTCACTGCAGTCTTGAACTCCTAGGTCAAGGGAGCCTCCCACCTCAAGTCTTCCAAGAAGCTAGGACTATAAGCCCATGCCCAGCTAATTTTTTTTTTTTTTTAAGATGGAGTTTCGCTCTTGTTACCCAGGCTGGAGTGCAATGGCACAATCTTGGCTCACTGCAACCTCCACCTCCTGGGTTCGAGCAATTCTCCTGCCTCAGCCTCCCGAGTAGCTGGGACTAAAGGCTGCGCCACCATGCCCAGCTAATTTTTTATTTTTAGTAGAGATGGGGTTTCACCGTGTTGACCAGGATGGTCTCGATCTCTCGACCTCATAATCCACCCGCCTTGGCCTCCCAAAGTGCTGGGATTGCAGGCGTGAGCCACTGTGCCCGGCCAAATGTTTAAATTTTTTGTAGAGACAGGTTGTCCCGCTATGTTGTCCAGCCTGGTCTTGAACTCCTGGCCTCCAGTGACTTTCCTGCCTAAGCCTCCCAGGTAGCTAGGACAACAGGCACACAGCACCAAGCCCAGCTAATTTTTTTTTAACTTTTTTGTAGAAACAGTCTCGCCATGTTCCCCAGGCTGGTCTCAAACTCCTGGGTATAACTGACAGTCCCATGTCGGCCTCCCAAAGTACTGAGATTACAGTTGTAAGTCACCATGGCCAGCCATCTCCCTTATATTCTCTAGTCGAAATGGGGTTTCACCATGTTGGTTAGGCTGGTCTCAAACTCCTGACCTCAAGTGATCTGCTCACCTCGGTCTCCCAAAATGCTGGGATTACAGGCGTGAGCAACTGCGCCCACCCTCTTATACTCTTATGGGACCACCATCATATGTATATGAGTGTGTCAACCAAATTATCATTCTGCGGTACACGATTCCACATTTAGAGTACATAAAAAGGGTCACTATATCAACTGTCATTTTAAAAGAACTTGAAATAGGCTTTAGTTAATCTGTTTAAATTTTCTAACCTTCACACCTCCATCATTATTTATATCTTGTTGATCTTCATGTGATTTCACATCTTTTCCAGAGTCTTCACTGGTCTCTTCATCTTTTAATCTATGTACAATGGTTTGAACAGTTTTGACCATATTCTTAAGCTCATCTGGGTATGGTGTTGGGTATCTTTTTAAATTTCCTTCCTAGAGAAACAAAATAAGTGAAATATGAAGTACGAATATTTCTACTGTCAATCTCAAACAAAATTTAATCTATAATCCATCTGAATTACATTAGACATCAAGCTCACAGGGATAACTGTGAAGACAAATGATAGGCTTTGAGGCCATTTTAGGCTTGATAAAAATATGGTTTTATAACAAAATAATAAGACTTCACAGTAAATTTCAATGTTTTAAAAGTTTCATCGGACTCAAATATTTCTATCTAGAGATATATAGTATGAATATTGCCAAAAATTGTGTCACTTAGCTTTGAAACAGATACATATTTTTCAGCTAGATATTAATCTATGCACAGATAAAATTGGGAGATTCACATATTTATGTCTCACATGCCAAGAGCCATATTCTTCCAAGGTCAACCTGTCGTATTCTGAGATTCAGCTAGTATGTGTAAGGGGCAAATAATTACATTCGTTAAGTAACTCAAAAATATAGTATTTACTATTCATATCACTGTGACATGTTTTCAATTCCATAAAGAAACAAAAGGTTCATAAGAAAGAGTTCTTTATTGCTAGGATTTATATAAGTAATTCACTAAAGAAAGGGAAAGGGGAGAAAATAATCATTACAAATATGATAGAGGGGGAGTCAACTAAACTGAAGTTAAACATAAGGGGCACTAATTTGAAATAAAGTCTTGATTAATTTCTCTAGCCTATAATAATGTTTTCCTCTTATATTTATATATACTATAAAATTTACCTTTAAATCATATAGTTTTATATTTTTCCCACATTCTTTCATGTGTGAAATATTTGAAAGCAAAAACACTTCAAGTGCCTTGAGGACAAGGAATAAATCAATAGTTTTTTATATCCCCAAACATCATAGTATATATAGTACCAACTTAAATATCAACAGACTTGTTTCGAATTTGAAAGAATATAAAACAGACTCACCCTGGGAGGTGCCTCCCTTTCGTCTTTGTCTTCATCACATTCAAATGCAACTTGAGCCCGCTGTTTCCTCTGTTCCTCCCACAATGAAGGGTTAAAACTTTCATTATCTGATATAAACATAACTAGAGAAAAGTAAGGAACAAACAAAAACCTCTATATTTTACTGTCATTATGGAAATCTATCCCTTGCTCATAATTTCTGTATGAGTTATGTTCATTAGTTAAGAGCAGTCAATGCGAGAAATTTGAAATCCTAATGAGTAGACTGTGATTTTTTATAATGTGAATGTAAGATTTTTTTACAGTGTCAGACACATATCCTTTCTTCCCTGAAGGTGATTCATCTTGTTTTCTTACCAGAAGCATTTCTGAAGAGAATCTACCCATGAAAACACCACAGACATATGGCATATGGTTTTGTGCAGTGCTCTAAAAGGTGCTATGGTTGAAATGCAATTTCATCACTGCATTAAACATTATGTGGATTATATACTAAGTAAATTCTTATAATATATTTTCTATATCAAAATGTAAAGAAAATGGAAATTTTAAGGTAAACTCAACACTTACATATTCTATCAGATATACAAGGTGAACATCCCTATACCAAAAATAAAAAATGAAAAAACTCTAATGAGCACTTCCTTTGAGCATTGTATCAGCATTCTAAAAGGACTGGATTTTGCTTTGAATTTGGGGTTTTGGGATTACAGATACTCAACTAATATGAATTCTGCAAATATTCCAAAATCCAAAAAAACTCAAAACCTGAAACATTTATGGTCTCAAGCATTTTGGATAAGAGATACTCAACCTGTAATATTAAAAGTAAAGATTTAACAACTCTCAGTTGTTTGTTATTGTTAGGCAACTAAAAAAATACATAAGGCTTAAAAATTAATTCATTCAACTATTATGTATCAGTCCATAGAAGTCTTACAATATAAAATAAAATCACAACTTTTTTGTCCATTAAAAGAAAATTACTATCCCCTACTCATAACAGAGAGATTTCAAGTAACCTACAATAAGCTTTAAAAAACCGTAGAAACTCCTGGAGTATCCAAATATGGTCAATTTGAACTATTTCTGCAAAAATAACAAAATACAAAAACTTCTAGTTATCATTTTTATTAAGCCTTTATTTAGGGCTTAACTTTAAAATCTCATATCTAAACTAAGGATGCCATGAAACCCAATCTTAGCAAAGGGAATGAAATTTTTTTATTTAGGCTTTTGTTTTCATTACTCGAAGATTTTTTTCCTTATAATTGCTTAACATGTACTCAATGGAGTAGTGTATTTGTTTTTGTTCAAAACAAATGTGGAATGTGATTCAAATTCCTATTGACGTACTTTTGTGGTATCATTGGAAAGGCAAGGACAGCTCAGCAGTTTCCGACAAAGTCTATTTTTGAATTCACATAATTCCCTTCTACTCTCTCCCTTACTTCAGGTAGTAATTTCAATCACCAGCTTGGCCCAGAGATTCCAATGACTGTTAGTTTATGTCTAAAGACATTTTACACCAGAATTTTTTCAGAACCCTCAAGTAACTTACTTTTACCATGCCTCTCATTCATGTCAACTTCTGGTCACTTATAATTTTCTACTCTTTAGTACAAATCTCACATCTTTGAAGATTCAGGACATCAGGTAATATCACTTTATAGCCATTGTAGAGGCTACTCAAACTGCTTACCCAGGTATGGACTGAGGACTCTAATATTTGGCTACACATGCTAATCTCCTGAATGATGCCAATGTGGGATGATAAATGCACCACCCCAAGACCCTAACTTTGTAATTCCTTGATGACCTCAATCCCAATGTCCAAATGCACATCGGTCAAATGATTCACAACCACAGTCATACTCAGGACTTTGGCTTCCATAAAACTTTTCCACCTCTTTGATCATTACACCTGTTCTTACAAATCACTCAATTCCTTATTGTTGCTGGTAAACTTTCAGTTCCTTAACTACCTTTCTTTAGCTCCTTGTAAAATCATTCTAGGTTTTACCTCCTTCTCTATTAAGCTTAGATTTTATGATACATTAATCACTACCACTTCCCTGAAATGCCCTTACTCCAGCTTCCAGAGGAAAATTTCTTTCACTTCACTGTAAAAGAAATGCAATAAAACCCCTCAGACTCATATTTCCACTAATATCCTGCTTTCTTAGATATGAATGTATTGTTATATGAAAACATACTTCCCTTTCCCTCTGATTAAGACTGATTCCTCTATCTAGGCCCAAGATCTCACCCCTACTCTCGCACATTTATTCATCACTATCTACCTTTAGATTCTTTCCTTCTTTTTTTTTTAAATCTTTCCACCTTTAGAAGTCTTGAAAGTAAGAATATTGGTCTTTACTTAGCTCTAGCACAATACCTGTCACAAAGGTGGGATGAAAAATGAGTGTGAACAGTGTGTACTTCTTTCAAACTGTTATAAAACCCAAACCCAGTAAGATACTATTTTTTGATTCATCTATTTCTTAGAGGCATTGGGATAAATAAAAAACCCTTTCTTATAGTTGAAAGAAAATTCATTCCCCTTGTTTAATGCTCTGCTTATAGTATCCATGAAATACTTTAAGCGACACATGAACTCTAAGAGGACCCAGAATATCATAATTGATCCTGTATTTCAAACTTTTCTATTAGAAATTCTTCCATTCTAAAACAAATCTCAAAATCAAAACTTAGTAGTCGCAAGATTTTGCTACTTCTATTCTTCTTATCAAAACTAAATGTTTTATCTGAATTGTGATCTCCTTTTAAAATAAAAAGAAAGGGAATAAATTACAATGATAGAATAGAAAAAAGTGGCAAGGTAAATTTCAATCATTAAAGTAGAAAACAGTATGACAAGAGATCAAGGCATGAACATACCTATGATTCAAGACAGTTTAGAGGCAGAATGAGTAAACGTTTTCTATAAAAGGTCAGATAAATAATTTAAGCTTTGTGAGAGACAACCAATCACAAAAGCATCTATTTTGAAGGATTATTGTAAAGATGAGACGTTATGGATATCTAAAGTACGTAGCATTGTGTCTGACTCAAATTGGCTATTATTCTTACATTGCTATAGCAGGTTTAGCTTTGAAATACTGAAATGGAATAAAAACACAACTGACTTGTATTCCAGAACTAGTTCTAAACTATTAGAAAACTCTTTACCTTCTATAGGATAACTATTTCTTGTTCTCTGCTTGAAGAAATAAAAGACTTGCTTTGGTAAGTTATTATTTCATGGGTATACCTAATGACTTTTATTTAGATGTACCAAAACTTATTCAGCTTCCTAATCAAATGAGAAGATTTGTGAGATATCAAATGTAAAAAGCTTCATTTATGGGGAGGTTCTATAGTTAAAGCTTTGAGAATAGGTTTACAAATAACCTCTCTTCCATGTATTTAAATTCACCCATAACCTCCAAATTTAGCAGTATGGTAAAATATGAAAGTATGTTTCCATAAAAAAATACAGTATACTTAATATTAAGCTGTCAATATGATTACTGTTTTATGTAAACAATAATTTCATGAATTAGAAATTAAGAAGTTAAAAATAGAGGTGCAAACTCTGCTTATGTTGATACTGTATTTCAAACTTTACTATTAGAAAAGTAAGCAGTACCATGTGGGGCATTACAGCAAATACTCGAATGCATCAATAGCTAAGTTTTTTTGTCTTATTCCCTGACTGAGGTCTCAATTTCCTACTGTTCTTTGTTTCTGATGATGATTTTTGGAAAATAGGAAGGTAGGCATCCTCTAAATAATGTTATAGTCAGCTGTGCGATATACTCAGATAACTGTTCTTTTTACATAAAAGGACAGAATAGTAGCATAAATATCCCTTATCTGAAATGCTTGGGACCAGAGTATTTTGCAGTGAATAATGTGGCTGTGCTCCAAAGGAACTATCATCATCATTTTAAGATAAGCAAACTGAAGTTCAAAAACTTATTTGACTTGCCCATGGTATAGTTTATAAATTAAGACTGATGATTGATTTACATTTTTTCTTCAGTGTTTCCATGTGCTAAGAATTAATTTACAAATAATTTCAAATCACAGAGATTTTTACTGTCAGAAAGAAGATACATAAAAACTAGTTACTTTAAGTATAACACAATACACACACACACACATACGCACAGTACAACATGTATTAGAAACAATTTGCTCCTTAGTTTAAAAGGTCATCATAATCTATTAAAAACATCTGTGCCCAGTAGAAAAAAGTATATTCTGCTTTGTCGGGCAAAATAAAGAAAAGAATTTAGGAACAGCATTTATACTCAGAGTTCTACAGATTATCCTGATTCAGTGTGTAGATTTAAGTGTAGTATTAAGTTCACAAGTGAAGAAAATATTTCCTGCTTTAAGAATTCTAATCACATAATACTTATGTATTTCTAGCATTTAGCTAAATGTTTTTAAGTTATCAATTTTAACACTGTGATTTAATTTAAAGGAATCATTTAAGGAAGCATATGCTACACTTATACCTCTAAATTCAACTGTCTATACACCTGAAATAGTGCCCTATTTTCGCATTACTTTGAAATAAACTTTTTAAATCAATTCTCTAAAGTCCCATCAAACTAGTAAAAGTCTTTGAGATTTAAAATTCACTTCACACCTTTTAAATTAGTATTTGTTTTTAAAAAATAAACAGATTCTGAAATTCCTACCATCCTCAGTCCTTGGCTGTTGAGGGAACATGTAGTTAGTAAGCACCATTTTCTGGGTCTCTGAATCAGTTTCTTTTTGAAGAGGTATCAGGGGTTTGGACTAGAGAAAGAAAATAAATATTTAATTTTCATTAACCCTAAAGCAAACACATATTCAGCAATTCCTCTGCATAAGTACACATCACTTTTTCTATAAAGTATCAATGTGCAGGTTACAAATAAATTTAACTATACATAATAACACTTTCAGCATTGATTTGAAACCTTATTAAAATTCAAAAAATAAAATTCAGTTTTTAGTATAAAGCAAGCTCATACTATATAGCAATTATTATTGAAATATCAAGTTTTAAAAGATTTCATATAACAAATTTATTCATAGTCCAATAATTACTTATTATCATAGTGATACATTTAATTAAGTTGTAAATTAAGCCTTTCCATTGTTTGCCCTATCTAGTATTCCCCATCACTAAGATGCTTTTGGAAAAAATTATTTGGAAGGGTTAGCCTGATTATCTAAATGTTTATTCTAGCCAGCAGCTGAAAAGAGAATGATGAAAACCGTAAACTGCTTCTCTTTCTTCCTCTCGTATCTCCTGATATCACTACAGTAGTGATATCAGTAAGTTACTCAGTGGTAAAGCCTACAGGAAATTTGGACCTTCTTTTTTCTTTTTTGAGACGGAATCTTGCTCTGGTGCCCAGGCTTGAGTGCAGTGGCATAACCTTGGCTCACCACAACCTCCATCTCCCAGGTTCAGGTGATTCTCCTGCCTCAGCCTCCCGAGAAGCTGGTACCACAGGCGCATGTCACCATGCCTGGCTAATTTTTGTATTTTTAGCAGAGATAGGGTTTCACTATGTTGAGCAGGTTGGTCTCAAACTCCTCATCTCCTGATCAGCTCACCTTGGCCTCCCAAAGTATGGACCTTCTTTTTTCTTAGGATTTCTTTCCCTAACTACTTAACAAATGTTATCCACCTATTTTTTAATATAACTGATTCTTTTTGGTATTCACCTAAATCCTACCAATAAAAGCCATGGCTGACTGCAGACAGGCAGAGAACTACCCAATTCTCCCCTCACATGCCACCCTATTACTTAAATCTGACTTCTGTGAAAACCTTCCATCTACTTAATTCCATCCTGTAATCTTACTCCCATTCAAACATTCCCCTCTGTTCCTCAACAAACAAAAACTGCCCTACATTTCAAATTACTGAACGTTTTCCTTGACTTCCTCCGATAATGGAAACGGTAGCTCTATTCCCTTCCCAAAGACAATGCTTCCCTTAAGCCTCAAACATAGGGGTTTTACTCTCTCCTACCTCATCCACCCCAAGTCAGGAGGTGAGAGTAGCACTTACAGTGCTGTGACATCATTCTGCTACTATCCTCAAATTTAAACTCCTGTTCCTTTGAGGAATATAACCAGTACCTTCCACAGCCAATCTCCTTTTCATATTATCCACTGGCCTCCTGGTGGTATTCACCTATTCCTGACTCTTTTATACCAAATCTTTCCAAAGTCATGTTAGAAAACATAGATGACATTTCCATACCTTTGACTTCTTAGATGAAGAATGTGTCAGAAAAAAAAAAAAAAAAGTCCCCTTAGATGAGCATCTAAAAATTATCTGGGAGGCTTTTAAAAGCTCATCATCCTGAAAATCTTCTAAAACTGTTATAATTGTTGCACAACTCTGTGACTATACTAAAAACCACTGAACTGTATCCTTTAAAAAGGGGTCACTGTAAGGTGTGTGAATTACATGTCAACAAAGGTAAAATAAGAAAACTAGTCACTTGTTATTTATGTGGCACAAAGACAGAAAAAGGAATTGAGAACAGTATATCTGGTCTCTCAGTTCCCTGAACATCTAACTTCAGCAATTTCTAATCCTACTTCATTTCACATATTCTATTCCTTTGCCATAATTTCTAAAATATCACCTGTAAATATTCTTGTCTGAAATATAAAAATCACTCACTCAACGAATATTTACTAACAGCCTTTTATATTGCAAAGCACTAAGATAGGCCCTGGGTACATACTGACTTTGTAGACTTTATGAGAGTATATGAGAGGAAGAATACAGGTAACAAAATAGGCAATTGCAATTGTAATTACAGGGTAGATAGAGTAAAGAGTGCTGGCCGGGCGCAGTGGCTCAAGCCTGTAATCCCAGCACTTTGGGAGGCCGAGGCGGGTGGATCACAAGGTCAAGAGATCGAGACCATCTTGGTCAACATGGTGAAACCCCTTCTCTACTAAAAATACAAAAAAAACAGCTGGGCATGGTGGTGCGTGCCTGTAATCCCAGCTACTCAGGAGGCTGAGGCAGGAGAATTGCCTGAACCCAGGAGGCGGAGGTTGCGGTGAGCCGAGATCGCGCCATTGCACTCCAGCCTGGGTAACAAGAGCGAAACTCCGTCTCAAAAAAAAAAAAAAAAAAAGAGTGCTAAGAGAACATTAGGCGGAGAAATTAACTTACCACAATATTGAATGATTAGCAAAGCATTCCTGGAAGAAAGTCTTAAGATGAGAAAAAGTCTAAGGTAAGAAGCCAGGTAAGAAAGACAAGGGAGAACGTCCCAAGAAAGAACTGATTTGGAGAAATGAGAATGAAGGTGTATAGGATAGAGATGAAGCCACAGAATGAGGAGGCTCTTCAGGCATATGATATAAAGAAAAAAGAAACAATGAAAAGGTTTAAAGTAAGTTAGAGCTGGGATCAGATTAAAGTATCACGCAAATTACAACGCCTTGTTATATTACCCAAGCAGGTCTCAAACTCCTGGCCTCAAGCAAGCCTCCTGCCTTGGTTTCCCAAAGTGCTAGGATTACAGGTGTGAGCCACCATGTCCCACTTGATTACTTAAAATTTTTTAGTACCACATATTTTAAAATGGCAACAAAGATGAATTTTTGATAATGCATTTAACTTTACATATTCAAAATGTCATTTTAACATGCAATAAAAAATATAAATGTGATCATATATATTCTCTGTTCATTCTAAGGTTACACATACCAGTGTGTATATTACACTCACACCAAATCTCAATTTTGACTAGTGGCTAGGTCTAAATGAAAGATTATGGTGAACAGTATTTAAGAGAAGTAGCAGTAGGGATAAAGTAGAATATACAAATACCTGAGGATGTTTAAGATTCATAGTGTTTGTCTATGAAGTACAGGAAAAAAACAGTATTTAAGGGTTGCATTTCAAGGTCTCTGCCTCCATCAACTATTATTTCCAAGCTAAAGTAACTGGGGAGTGTGGGAGAAATATATTTGGGGCAGAAGATGGTATACTCGATTTTGGGCTCATTGAATTTGAGACATTTAGGTGGCAATGTTAAGTAGGAGTTGAGCTATATGAATATGAGGCTCTGCACAAGAACTGGGCTGAAGACATTGTTAAAAATAATGAGGATACAGATTGCAATTTCAGGAGACAGTATGAAGAAACTAAAGCAGAGCCTAGGATACCATGAGGAGCAAAAACATAAAGGCAGAAGAAATATGTCCAAGGAGACTGAGGAGCAGTCAGGCAAAAGGGTAACCAGCAGAGTATGGTAACCCAGATAACATGCAGCCCTCCCACTCCACTGTTCTCACAGTACTTGCTGATCACCCTTACCAAGACTACTATTCCCTTGACCTTTTGACATTCTTCCCACCATTTGCTCCTGTCTTTGATTCCCCTTTTGTACCACACCATATCTTATTTAAACCACTTTCCTGCCATAAACCAAGACCTCCTTGCTGCATTATTCTTTTCTTGCACCTGGCTTGGCAAAACTACAGCCCAGAATCCTACTAATTGTGTGCCTTCTCTATATTACACAGCTGAGCAAATTAGTATCACCACAAACTTGTGCAGTGATTATTAATTTGTACTCCTATTTGTGTACTGATACTAATAATACTTCATCTGGGTTCTACATATTATCTGAAAATCCAATATGGCAAAACTGCACTCCAGCCTGGGCAATAGAGCAAGACTATACCTCAAAAAAAAAAAAGAAAAAGAAAAAAAAAAGAATAGAAAAAAGAAAAACAGCTATGAGTATGGAAAATGCTATATTCTAAGATTATCAAATGTATACTATTTGCTCTCCCTTTCACAAACTTGAGACCCAAGCTCCCTCCAACAGGTTAAGAATTCCTGTCATAGCTTTTCCATCAATTTCCACCCATTATCCAACTGCTTCTCATCTTCTTTGTTGCTATTGTTGAAACAGAGACTCGCTCTGTCATCCAGGCTGGACTGCAGTGGTGTGATCTTGGCTCACTGCCACCTCCGTGTCCCAGGTTCCAGCAATCTCCTGTCTCAGCCTCCTAAGTAGCTGGGACTACCGATGCATGCCACACATCTGGCTAATTTTTGTATTTTTAGTAGAGATGGGGTTTCTCCGTACTGGTCAGGCTGGTCTTGAACAGCAGACCTCAGGTGATCCACCACCTTGGCCTCCCATAGTGCTGGATTACAGGTGTGAGCCACCACATTCAGCTCTCATATTCCTCATATTCTTAATCTCACTTATCATACAGCTTCTTTCCAACAACCTATAAACATGCTCTCCAATATTAAAGGATCCCTGAGCTTTTCCTGCTATCAATTTCTTTATGTTCCATTCCATTTCCTTCTCATCCAACCTTCTTAAAGAATAATCAACATTCAATTTTATCAGCAATTTATTCCTTAAACTCCTTCAACATGGGTTTTGACACATACCTCTATAATTACTTTAGCTAGTCAATTTAAATTGGCAAGTATAAGCTGCCAAATAAAATGAATATTTTTCAGATTTAATCTGAACTGACTTCTCAACAGCATTTATTCCATTAACAACTTCTTCCTTCAGGCCAGTTTCTTCACTCTTGAGACCATCATTATCCAGTACTCCTCCTACTTCTATGGCTACTCTCTTTACACCTCTTAATCTACTGCCATTTAAATCAATTCTCAGGATTCATCATCAGTAACATTTAAAAAATTATATAATTCCTTTTGAGAAACAACAAAAGCTATGAAACCATTCCCTTCAAAAAGTTAATTAAAATTATGGGCTAAACAAAAATATGTATTTCTTCTTGTGCCACAGATCTTTTAAAATGAAGTGAATATGTTTTTACAAATAAGCACAAAGAATAAACCTATAATAGTACTGAAAAAAGAAAATTAAGTCTTCAGGGGCAATTTTGAGAAATTCCTCAAGGTTAGAAATTTAAAAATAGAGAAACCAAGAGCACAGAAACCATATAGAAGAAAATGAAGTCAGGAGGTTCACAGTCACCAGCGTGTTCTATACATGGCTACTTGGATATACCAAGGTACTTCTAACTCAACATGTTTAACTAGAACTTAACATCTTCCCATAAACATATTTCTTTCATTTGTGGTTCCTTTTCTTGGTGTGGCAGCATTATCCACCTAGTCACTGAAGTCAAATCTCTGACATTCATCTTTGCTTTTACTACCTTCTCACATACATGCATTCTTCACATGTTCTACTGATGCAACTTTTTCAATATTCCTCAAAAATACCTGCTCTTTCCCTGGCCCCGTTATCATTACTTTAGTTCAAAGCAACATGTTCTGTTGCCTACTAGAGTATGGCAATGTCATCCAATTCAGTCTCCCTTGCTTTCATGCTTGGCACTAACCCCTGATGCGTCCATTTTCTACCATGCAGCCAAAAAGGCCTTTCTAAAATATCAATGAAATGATACTATTTGCCTGTTCAACGTTACACTGGTTCCCATATTATATGTATCACAAAAATCACTTCTTCCTCTTACATTCATGGCAGATATGAATAATTGATCATTACTAGACTGATCAAATGTCCATTTTGCCTAAGACAGGCACAATTTACACATGTTCTCATGAAATTATCAATGGAGCCCATTTCCCTTCCTGAAAGTATCCTATTATGGACAACAAATTACACAGCCACCCAAATCACAGCAATTTTCCACTAGCTTGAATTTGATTATGAGTCAGAATCTGCAACACAATTCTTCAGGAAGCCACTCGTAACTGGTAAGAGTACAAGATTTTAAAAAATCTTATTTGCCATCCTTGAGATATAATACAACTTCCTTTGCATGGCATACAAGATCCTCTTTCCACCACCCATCTCTATCAGACTTTGTAGCCTCATTTTCTACCTTTTCCTTCTCATTGTTATACTCTAGTCATAATAACTTGCTTAAGGAATATACAAGGCTGCTTTGCACCTAAATGCGTATGCTCACGATATTCTTCCAAAGCAGAACACTGTTCTCTTTTTGTTGTTGTTTAAATCCTATGCCTACCTGGTCACGATGGTTCAGGCCTATAATCCCAGCTACTCAAGGGGCTGGGGTGGGAAGATCACTTGAGCCTGGAAGGTGGAGATCAGAATGGATAACACAGGAAAAACCCCATCTTAAGGAAGGAAAAAAATAGACCAAAACTCTTATTCCTCTTTTTTATTTAAAAAAAAAACAAAAAACAAAAAACTTTATCTTAGAGATAGGGTCTTGCTCTGTTGCCCATGCTGGAGTACAGTGGCATGGTCATAGCTCACTGTAAACTTGAACACTGGGGCCCAAAGGATCCTCCAGCCTCAGCCTCCTGAGTAGCTTGGACTACAAGCATGTGCTACCCGACCTGGCTAATTTTTTAATTCTTTTGCAGAGACAGGATCTTGTTATGTTGCCAGGTTGGTCTCAAACTCCTGACCTCAAAAGATCCTCCCACCTCAGCCTCCCAAAGTTCTGGGATTAGAGGTGTGAACCACCAGGTCTAACCCCATTCCTCTTTTGAGAGAGAATTCAGGCATTGCAGGCATTTCCTCCTCTGATAAATCTGCCTTTACATCCCTTGGTTATCTTCCTCATCTTGGATTTTAAAGCTTAGTCCTATTAAGTCTTTTTTTTTTTTTTTTGAAACAGAGTCTTGCTCTGTCACCAGGTGCCAGGCTGGAGTGCAGTGGCGTGATCTCAGCTCACTGCGATCTCTGGCTCCCGGGTTCAAGCAATTCTCCTGCCTCAGCCTCCTGAGTAGCTGGGACTACAGGCGCGCACCACCATGCCTAGCTAATTTTTGTATTTTTTTAGTAGAGACGGGGTTTCACCATGCTGGCCAGGATGGTCTCAATCTCTTGACCTCGTGATCTGCCCGCCTCGGCCTCCCAAAGTGCTGGGATTACAGGCGTGAGCCACCGCGTGCGGCCACAGTCCTATTAAGTCTTTTAACCACATTGTATTAAAGTTACTTTCTAAATACTGTTCTTCCCACCTTAAACTGCCTGATACGAAGCAGCTGTTCAATAAAGAGTTCTTGAGAATCACAAAATGGATGAGGGAATAAATTAATAAATAATTGTTCTGCTCATGCCTTCAGCACCTCATGAAAATTATATTACTCTATGTACTGTTCTACACAGCAGAGCAATTTACTTTCATAAATGTTAAATAGTAGAATAAATTTTCCTAATTCACAATCAAACCTCTGTACACCTTCTCCTCTACATGTCATTCTTTCACAGCAAAATTATTGCTTCATACAGTAAGGGAAATTTTCTAGGTATATCTGATATGTTTTACTCAATATTCTGTCAAACTCTGAAGAACAAAGACCCCCACCAAACAGTGTTTGTTTTAAACCAAGTGGAGATTGTGAATAGAATGAGAATACTGTAAATATGAAGAAAGTGTAGCAGATACTTGGTTAATTTCATTCAACCATCCGGTATGATTTCCTGGCACTGATTTATCCACAAAAGTGCTACTGCAGGCTAGGCATGGTGGTGAACACCTATAATACTAAGCACTGTGGGAGGCTGAAGTGGGGGGGTGGTTTGAGTCCAGGAGTTCAAGACCAGCCTGGGCAATATCATAAGAACCTGTCTCTACAAAAAAAAACATTAAAAAAAAAAATCCAGCTGGGTGCGATGACATGTGCCTGTGGTCCCAGCTACTTGGGAGGCTGAGCTGGGATGAATGCTTGAGGCCAGGAGTTCAATATTCCAGTGAGTCTTAATTACACCACTGCACTCCAGCCTAGATGACAGAGTAAGACCCTGTCTCAAAAATAAAAAAGTGCTACTGTACTAATAGAATTAGAATTAGTCTAAGAGTTCCTCAAGATCAGAAGATATGTCATTCATTGTGAGGTTAGTACATGAATAAGATGGGGTCCAGCAAATGTTTTCTGAATCTAGTTGCAAAATTTCAAATCAAGTTTAAATATATGCTATTCAATTAAGAGAAATCTGTTCCACATATAACAGATACAGTAACTGCCTCTTTAAAAAGCTCTAATAAAGGCAAATGTATCATCATTTTAATATTTTCTCTAAATTTGCAAAGCAGGTAACTAATACACTCTTATTCATAACCATGGATTAACATAAAAATTTAAGGCTTTTGGGGTATTAGTAAGGGCTGAGTAAGAAAGGGGTCCCCAAGGCCAGGTGTAGTGGCTCATGCCTGTAATCCCAGCACTTTTGCGAGACAAAGGTGGGTGGATCACCTAAGGTTAGGAGGTCGAGACCAGTCTGGCCAACACGGCAAAACTTCATCTCTACTAAAAATACAAAAATTAGCTGGGCATGGTGGCATACACCTATAGTCCCAGCTACTAGGGAGGCTGAGGCAGGAGAATCACTTGAACCCAGGAGGTGGAGGTTGCAGTGAGCCAAGACTGTAAGACTGTGCTCCAGCCTGGGCAACAAAGTGAGACCAGGAAAGGGACAGGGAAGGCGAAGGGGAAGGGGAAGGGGAAGAAAAGGGGAAGGGGGAAAGAGGTCCCCAGTTAAAAACTATGAAGAATTCTCATGCATTTCTTTACTGTATGAATACCTTAAGGCTGTTAATATAATCCAGAATTAGGATGTAATATAGTTTCCAAAAAAATTTTGGCTGTGGAATTCATGAGTATCACATGAAACCAGTGTATTCAACACTGGGAAAACAGAGCTTTAAATAAATTATTATAAAGTATTGCTCAACATCAAATAAGTATTAATTTTTTAATTAAAAAGATCAGCAAATTGTATATTATATTTTGTTTAAAAAAATTTACAAGGAACCCTTACTGTTGGTGGGAATGTAAATTAGTACAGCCATTATGGAAAGAGTATGGCGGTTCCTCAAAATATTAAAAATGGAACTATCATATGATCCAGTAATCTCACTACTAGATATATATCCAAAGGAAATAAAATCAGTATGTTGAAGAGATGTCTGCACTCCCATGTTCACTGCAGTAGAATTCACAATAGCAAGGCATGGAATCAGCCTAACCGTCCATCAATGGATGAACAGATAAAGAAAATGTAGTGTGTATACACCCATACATATACAACCACAATGGAATACTATTCAGCCTTAAAAAAGAAGGAAATCCTGTCACTTGCAACAACATGGATGAACCTAGAGGACATTATGTTAAGTGAAATTAGCAGGAACAAGAAAATAAATGTCACGTTTTCACTTATATGTGGAATCTAAAAAACAAACTCATAGAAACAGAGTAAAATGGTAGGTTCTGGGGCTGGCAGGGGTGGGCTACAGTATGGACCGGGATATATTGGTGAAAGGGTACAAAATTTTAGTTAGACAGGAGTAAGTTCAAGAGCTCTAATGTACAACAGGGTGACTATAGTTAGTAACACTATGCTACAGTCTTGAAATTGCTGAGTAGATTTTTAAGTGTTCTCACTATATAATATGACAAGTGTATGAGATAATGCTATTAAAGTCAGCGAGTCTGAGTCTGACTTCCTAATCAATATTTTCACAGATTTAGGAGAAATTAGGCAAGTAGAATGGAATGTATTACTTATAAATCTGTAACTATTTTTTAAAAAGTATTTGCTTCTAAATATTGAGATTTTTCTTATATAAAATACATGTTTACATGTGTACCACTGTATAGCTGCTGTTAAATGACCCTATGTAAATCAAGAGTACAAAATTATATAACACAAATAGGAACTCCATTAACTTATAAAATCAGAATGCCCACCTGATTATCTGAGAGCCACATAGCTGTCAATTGCTGTAGCTTTGTAAAGCTAAAGGGCAAATTTTTTAATCTGTAGGAAAAAATACAAACAAAAATTAAACTTTAAAATGAGAAAATTTAAAATGAGGGCTCAATCTAATTGTTTTCTGAAAAATGCTATATAATTGCATATGAAAATAGGAGAAAAAAAAGAGAACAGTCCAATATACTTCTTTGTATAGGACGTAAGACAAAATATCCAGTTTTATAAGAATTAGTTTCAAAAATATAATTCTTCAATTGACTCAATTCACCTGGCAAGAAAATGGGTAAACAATAACCTTAAAAATCCGTTAAAAAATATGTTAATTGTCCCTGCCTTAGAAAAGGATAGATTAAGGAATGTCTCATAAAATTGCTTTGGTTTATTTGTATTTAGAGAGAACAAACTGTTAGAGGAAGCACTCTTGGTGAGTTTTTTATAAAAACTGCACTGTTCTCTATTTGTGAGCCAGCAGTTACATAATCTAGAAGACTATCATAAGATGATAATGAGTAAAAACAAAGTACAGTCGTTCCTCGGAATCCATGAGAGACTGGTTCCAGGATCTCCCTCAGATATCAAAATCTGCAGATGCTCAAATCCCTTAAATAAAATTGTATAATATCTGCATATAACCTATGCACATCTCCCCCCACCCCCGTATATTTTAAATCATTTCTAGGGTACTTATAATACCTATTAGAATATAAATGCTACGTAAATAGTTGGTATACTGTATCGTTTAGGGAATAACAATGTGAAAATTGGTACACATTCAGTACCAACACATTTTTTTTCCAAATATTTTTGATCTGAAGTTGTTTGAATCCACAGTTGCAGAATCCACAAATACAGAGGGTCAACTATAATATACTCATTAGAATACTAAATGAAAATATCCTATTTAACAGTCATCTATTTCAGCCTTGCTATCTTATGCCTAACGAGTCTTCCATGCCTATCTTTCAAGGTAATTTGCATAACCTACTGCTCTAGTTTGGGAGTAGGAATTAAAGGGTGAAACAGTGACTTAAGAAAGCAGTGGTTCTTTTAAATAAAACAGAGGTTAGGATATCATAACTAGTCAAAAAATTGAGTTTAAATTAAAGCTCTACCTTACAAGCTATGTGAGTTACCTTAAATCGGAGTCTTAAATCCCTCCTACATAAAACGGGAATACTATAATACTATTTCATAGAGGTGTTTTGAAGACTTCATAAGACACTACGAAAGCAAAAAGTAAAAACACTCTACAAATGCTGTTTAATCATCATTAATATCTTTACCTCAGGAAAAAGTATGGACTGTTTTTAACTTAAACATTGTTCCAGTTTACAACTGGAACTCAATCTAATGGTTTTCTGAAAAATGCTCTACATAGTGGAAAAAAAGTTATGAAAAATACTCCATATTTATAAAAGAAATAATTAGATTTTCCCTTTTAAATTATTAATTTTCACATACATAGGAAAGCCATTTTAGAACCTCTTCTAAATTAACCTAAATATTATTCAGAAAATAATTTAATAATGATCCATTTGCTCTGCACCTTGGCTTTGTTGAAACCAAACCTCTGCCCAGGAAAATATTAGCAACATACTAGATACATTCTAAAGTTGTTTCGTTAAATAGCAATATTAAGGTGAAGACATGACTTTAGGAATAAAAAGAAACTGTAAGGAGAGAATAAAGGTTGTCTAGCTAAGTTAACTCAAAATGAACAGTAAAAACCATTGTATGATAAATTAAAATCAGATACAATTAGACCACTCTTTCTATTTAAAGAAAAAATTAAAAGATACAGCAAGTCCTCATTTAACATTATTGCTAGGTTCTTGGAAACTGCAACTTTTATCGAAACTGTGTATGACAGGTCCTCAAATAATGTCATTTTCTTATAACACTGATGAATGAAAGAAATTGGGTTTTATTATGTGTTGTTTCACTCAAAGTCACACTTTCCAAGAGCCTATCAATAACACTGAGGACTTACTATGTATATTTAAAGAGAAACAAGTGCTAGCTATTCTATCACATATCATATGAAACTTAACTTCATCTAACCAGTGTCTCCTATAAACCAACTGATGAATATAGTATTACAAACCTATTGTCACTTAAATTAATGACTTTTAATTTTTGCATATCACCCATTTCCTCTGGAAGTGTCTCAAGTTTATTGGAATGGAGAAACAGCACAGTTATATTTTTCCAGCTTCCAATCTGAAAGATAAATATAAAGTGAAGAAAAAAAAATTGGGCCTACAGGTTGATCAACATATAAAAAACATGATTTTTAAAAGTTATGAAAAATACTCCACATTTATAAAAGAAATAATTAGACTTTCCCTTTTTAATTATTAATTTTCATGTAAATAGGGAAGCATTTAAGAACCTCTTCTAAACTAACATAACTAATTCTTACTCAGAAAATAATAAACTATATAATTAGTTTATACATAATAAACTATATAATTATATAGTCTATATGTTATATAAACTATATATAATATAGTTTATTATATATGTTATATAAACTATGTATATAGTTTATATAACTATTATATAATAATATATGTTATATAAACTATGTATATAGTATGTATATAGTATATAGTATAAACTATGTAGTTTATATAACATAAATATATATATAATAAACTATATAACAATTCTGAATTCTTTTTAGAAAGAAATAAATGTAGTCACAATGGATAGCTAAATAATCAGAAAAAGATGAAAAGACAAAAATCCAAACTAATTTAAAATACATTACCTCAGGGGGCAACTGTTGTAAGTAATTATGATCAGCAGCAAAAGTTCTTAAGTTAGTAAGCTCCCCAATAGATGAAGGCAAAGCTTCAACTTCATTAAAACTACAATCCAGTTCTTCTACTGATATTAACCTTTAATTTAAAAAGGAAATATATATGATTTTTTAAAGGTTTCCTATATACAATCCAAAATTTCAGAACATAAAAACATTTGAACTTGATTTTGACAATCTAGTGAAACCATTTCACAAAGCTAAACTTCACCAATAATAAGTAGGTCTGACTACTGTAAACATACCCAACCTGTATACTAATTACTTAAATGTTTACAAAATCTTTAGGTGGGCCAAGCGAAGTGGCTCATGCCTGTAATCCCAGCACTTTGGGAGTCCGAAGCAGGTGGATCACGAGGTCAAGAGATAGAGACCATCCTGGCCAACATGGTGAAACCCCATTTCTACTAAAAGTACAAAAAATTAGCCAGGTGGTGGTGCGTGACTGTAGTCCCAGCTACACAGAAGGCTGAGGCAGGAGAACTGCCCGAAACCGGAAAACAGAAGTTACAAGTGACCGGGCATCACGGCCGCTGCACTCTTAAGCCCAGCAATAAAAGCAAGACTCTGTCTCAAAAAAAAAAAAAAAAAAAAAAGTTAGGTCATTTACGCAAATATCTGAAAATATATATGACATGGTGAAATGAAAGAAGAATCTTCGAGGGTGTGTAATACACAAAAAACTTACCCTCCTATAGAGTCTGGTAGATACATTAACTGGTTTTCATCTATTTTAAGAGTTGTTATATTCTTCAACAAACCTATTGAGAGAAGAAACAACATACAATTTTTTAGCTTAAAATATAAGCAAGTCCACCAAAAGTCAATGTGAGAATATTACATCTGACAAAAATTAGAAAGAACTTTCCTAACAAACTTATCTAAAAGAGATGCCACTCCCAATCCCAACATTCTATTCCCTCATCCTATACTTTCAATCTTCATTCACATCACCATTTAACATAGTTATACATTTGTTTATTAACTCCAACTAAAATATAAGCTTTACTGATAGTAGGAACTTTTAGTCTTCATTGCTCACTGCTGTAGCTCTGCTCCTAAAAACAACGGCATGGCACAGAAAAGACAGACACTATAAAATTGTTGAATTAATAGACTAAAGAAATGGCTGGGCACGGTGGTGCGCGCCTGTAGTTGCAGCTACGTGGAAGGCTGAGGCAGGGGAATCGCTTGTACCCGGGGTACGGAGGTTGCAGTGAGCTGAGATGGAGCCACTGCACTCCAGCCTGGGCGACAGAACGGTACTCCATCTAATGGTACTATGAAGGTAGTTCATTAACAGGTATGTAACAAATGATTCCATATATACCCAATACCAAAACAGTAAAATATCTTTTAAGTTTAAAAAGTGTTGATTAGAGTAGAATCGTAACAAACTTGTAAAAATGTAGTTTTAGCTACGACAACCATGTGACTTGAGAAATACATTAAAATATTTTTGGTTTTTATATTAAAACATCAAAATGATGTCAAGATTGAAGTTTTGGGTCCTTTCATCAAAATAATTTGATTCCACTGACATATAACTGAACAAGCAACTACACAAATACAGACTCAATTATAGATATCTCATGATTTGTTCAACTGATCTGTTTTCTTATCTGAGTGTCTATAATGAAATAGAACTGAAAAAATTTACCAAAATAAAAGCTATAACAATAAAAGCTAACAGTTAAACCAAATTTGGATAAATTTATTTTAAAGAATTTAAATACATTAGTAATAAAAATGAAATTTTCTTATAGTAAATAAAAAACAGTAATGTCAACAAAGAAGTAACTTGTACAGCTGATCATACCAGGAAAAATTAAAATCTGTTCCTGTGGTAATGCAGTATACCTACCTCATAACAAGTGAAATTTGTGATTATGCTGAAGCCTTGAATTTACTTTAATAAAAATTACATGAATTTGAAAGCAATACAAACCAATAGTCTCAGGAAGCTGCTGAAGTGAATTGCTTGATAATAGGAGGTCTTGAAGGTTTTCACATGCTGAAATTCCTTCTTCAACCATTTCAATATTATTTTTAGAAACATCCAAATATGTAAGCTGTTTCAAACTACCAATAAACTATAAGTAAAAAATAAATAAATAAATAAATCTAATGACTTTAACATCAGTAATTTGTAAAAAGTTTAGGCAATAAATCTGATACCAAGTTTTAATTAAAAATTAAATGCTAATACAAGAAAGACGACTCCAAGACAGCTTTTTAAATGTCAATAGAAATGTATTCAGTAATAAAGCTAAGATCTCCTACTAACTGTAGCCTAGCAGAAGTGACAAATGACATATACTTTGGGAATTCCGCTGTCCATTTCCTCCTAAGGAGACCACATATACGGGGATTCTTGTGGTTCTTTATGGAAGTAAACAATTTGTCAGTTGTTAAACAACAGAAAGTTCATGGAAAATATACTAGTTTACCAATTTCTTGGGAAAACCAAATTGGGAAGTAAGTTCAACTGATACCACTGGAAAGGGCACACTCAACAGTATTAAAAGGAGATTTACAAATGTTTATTATGAGAATTCTTAGATTATAATCAAGAATGTGCTCATGGTAAAAAAATATAATTTGCTTCTGTTTAATAAAGAACAATCCTATTTCTTTTTATTAATTAAACGTAATTATAAAAGGTGCAATGCACAAAACTGCAAAGGAGAGCCAGAAATAAGTGATGCCATTTAAAATTTCATATACATACCCCTGGAATAAAAGTCAGTCTATTAGCATCCATCCAAAACTCTTTTAATCCACTTAGTTGCTCAAGTACTTCAGGCTGTTGGGATTGGGGTAGGGGATAGCAGTAATTCAATTAATTTACATGAATGTCTTTATCTGGCAAAAGAAGCCCTGGGAATTTCTAATAACCTTTAGTTTCAAATCATTAAATTAAAGAAGTAGGGGGAAGAAAAATAAGAAAGCAGAGCCAGGATGTGAGCCTTTCCATTGCATTATAATTACTATAGTAAAATTATTAATGGAGAAATCAAAGAGACAGTCCACAGAAGTAGATTACAAAAAAAAAAAAAAAATTAAGCTTTGGATTACACAATAGGGTCAAGTATTTATATAATTAGTAAAGAAATAAAAAATAGGACCCACTGCTTAGAAGTATACAATAAAAACATACACTCATTATCAATAAGAAGTTAGTCTTTTAGAAAACAGAAAAATTACAAATGTTCCCTAGTGAAATTCATCAAGAGGGAGATAAAAGACAATATACATCCTAAATGTTCATAATCAGGGAAAGTTAAACAGACAAAGTCATAACCACATGATACAAATATACTGTAATTTAAACCTCTAGTAAAAACTTCTAATTACACGGTAGAAAATTCTTTATAAGACAGTGTTGAGGACATAAAAATTAATCCAAGTGTTGTGGTAGACCTTCATATCCTGGCAACATTTGCTCCTGGGCATTGTCCCTTTGAGGCTGCCCTCTTCAAAGTTATTTCTATCACCGCACAAAGCCATGTGCAATCAATGATCATGTGATGACACAGAGTATCATCACATCTAATGACCATAGTTAACAGTCCTACATAAAAGGAATGCCAATCAGATTTACTGTTAACATATAAATATAGATATGAATTCCAAATGTAACTTAAAAGAAATTTCCTTTTGTGCATTACTGTTATAATTCTACTGTAAGTTTTTAAAAGTGTACAATGTTGGAAGACCAAAATAGTGCAAAAATGAATGATGATTTTGAAAGCTTTTTGGATTCTTAAAATGAACAAATGAGATTTTTGAAATAGTTAATACCAAAACAGATTATAGAACAAATATTGAGAAAGGACATAATAGAAAAGTAATTTCAGAAGCACAGCATGTATTTTAGAGAATGAGGTACTACTCCAAACCACCATGTTCCTCCTCAAGTCTCAGCTGAAATTTATACTATTCATACAATACCCATAGAGCAATATTACAGCAAACAGTTCTGAGAAATTCCTATCCTTAAAACCATCATTTGTGAGCTACCACAATTTTAAACAATGAATTCGCAAACTAATTTAAAAGTTTAATAATAATGATACTCAGCTCAACGAATTCCTCTTCAAAAAAAAAAAACTAGCTTCAAAAAAAAAAATCTTGGAAAACTCACTAAAGACAAAAAACTACTTACATACTGTTCCTTTCCTTTTAGATTCAGCCTCATAGTGCACTTGGCATACAAAGCACAAATAAAAAGGTTCTCATTACCACTTCAAAAATAACAGTTGTTTCACTCGATGATTTTCCCCTTAGCTATTAAGTAACATTATAGAGAAGTATCTTATTACTGAATAAATTCACAAGCAATACCCCATGGAGCTATCTCTGATTCAGAACTACTTTTACCTGCTGCATTCCAGACTGATGTTTCTCACTTTATAATCACTCAAATTTTCTGCTTCCTATGCTAAAAACTGTTTAGGTATCTCTTCCATGGACCGCTCACTGATTTTATATTTTATCCTCACTTTTGGTCAGAATTTTATCTGTCTGGTTAATTTTTCTATCTGTCTGGAAAGTTCTGGCTAAGAACTTTCATATCTTGTAATTAAAGAAAAAAAAGTAAACCTTTATCTAATTTTTAAGAGAAATACATTAATTTTCACATTTTGTTCTTGATCAAATATAAGAATTTAGGGAAAGTGAGACTGATGAGAACTTACCACTTCCGTGAATTCGTTACTTCCCAAATCCAGTCTTTCCAGCTGGGTCAGTCTATTCATGGTTCTATTCGTAATGGAGTAATAAAAAATTAACTACAAAAATACCAATTACATGGAAGCTTTCAAAACATAGTTTAAAACATTCTTATGGACTATGTAGTTATTTATGGGCTTTCACATGTTGACAAAATAATGTATATATTTCATATATGTAATATATGAATTATATATATATTTTTTTGGACACAGAGTTTTGCTCTTGTTGCCCAGGGTGGAGTGCAATGGCGCAATCTCAGCTCACTGCAACCTCTAACCCCCAGGTTCAAGCGATTCTCCTGCCTCAGCTTCCCAAGTAGCTGGGATTACAGGAATGTACCACCAAACCCGGCTAATTTTTTTGCATTTTTAATAGAGACCGGGTTTTTCCCTGTTGGTCAGGCTGGTTTCAAACTCCTGACCTCAGATAATCCACCTGCCTTGGCCTCCCAAAGTGCTGGGATTATAGGGGTGAGCCACCATGCCCAGATATAAAAATATATCTTCTAAAAAATTTAAAAAGATTTCTAGATAAAATGAATTATCCACTATTATCTTATTTTGTCTTTTCATTGCTCTTTCCATTTATATTTTTAAGAAGCAACTGCAATAAATTTAAACCCACAGGCCAGAATATGAATAATGAGTTTCCACTTCTTCACATAATAAACTTTTTTGGCAGATGCATAGTAATTACTACCATAATTACAAAAATCCTTTTTCAAAACTTCTCATATATTTGTAAGACTTTAAGATAACTGTAACTCTGAAAATTTTCAAAATGCTAAGAACAGTACATGGTATATTACCCACCACATGTTGAAATTAAAGCCAGTACAATTCAAAATAAAGTTTTATATAAATCAAAATTAGTGGTTGACACTTATTTTAAATAAAAGCAATAATATACCATTCTTAACTTCCACCTTAACATCAATACTTCTGGGAAACTACAGAAACTTGAAAGACAGACAAACCAGTTTTGTAATGAAATAAACTATGTTGCACTTTTATCTTTTAATCTCTCCTTTAACAAAGGTACCATTGAAACTAATTCAAGCAAACATTTATGCTCTTAAGTTGCTATTTTTGTATAACCCCTATTATTTAATACATTGAGATGATACCAGTTACCCAGAGTAAGAAATTCTGTATTATGGATTTTGTAGGATATGACAAAATGAGAGCAAAATACAGTTATAATCACAATATCAGTATATAACATTAATATGTTGATACTTTGAAAATGAGTATCATTTAAAATCCACAGGCACTTTTGATTTATGGCACAAACAACACAGACTATTTCTATCTTCTCTGGAATTTTAACGAAAATTAGTAATAAGTAAAATAAAAGTTGTAACATTTCTCCAGTTTTTTAGTTAAAAAATATAACAAACACCATCATTGTAATGACACTGTTACTGGTCTACATTAGAAGAGAATTTTCCCTTTACATTTTGAATATGCCATTCTGTCATCACCCCTTCAATTCATCTTATAATGCCAATTTTTATAAAACTGCTTTCACTGAGACTTACTAAGTGCCTATTCTTAGGTACTATAATTCTACTTCCTTACTCACATCTTTCCGAGAAAACCTGTTAAGTTCTAGCTTCCTTCATAACAAGCAAAAGGTGTTTCCAGGATCTTTCTCCAGATGTATTAAATCACATGCTATGTTAGTAATTTCTTATATTCAAATAACTATACCAGGTAGAGATTTGCAAAAAGTAAAAAGGAGTGTGAGGAGGAAGGGAAGACTGAAATAACAAAACATATTGTTACATTTCTTGCTTCAATATTGTTATAATGACAAGGTAATAGAAAATTCACATGCAACTATTGAGCACATAATATCAATAGAGGTAATTTGTGAAAAATAAAGCATAACACTTTTAGAATAAGGTATAAAAATGAAAAGTAGTGCACTGAAAAAATTCAATTACACATGATGGCCTGGTAAAGTTAAATTTTAAGACAATTTTAGAAAAATGTGAGTGACACAGATATGTAATAAAAAAGAAAATATACTGTCATGCCAAAAAAGTGTCTCCACCTCAACTCTTTATAGTCAATGCTGACAACTTTGGCTGTACGCATACACTCAGCAATCTCAGAAATAAACTGCATCTCAGAATAAGATCTAGCTGTCTATCTCAAGGAGAAAACATATCCCTCAAATTTTCTCCCATCAGTTTCTAAAATTCATTTGTATTTAACTCATTTTACTTTCTCCTCTCCTCAAAGGCAAAGTAAAACATCTTTTGTGTACTTGCTACTGTGCCCTCTAGTATTCTTTAGGCAGCATTAAATTTCACTTAACTATGTATCTAAAACAACAGCTCTTTCCATGGCTCTAGTCTTTGATATAGTCACATACCCTAAATGCACATGACTTTGTAATATTTAAAACTGTATCCTCTTGTTTGTGAGGTCTCCAAAGTTATAATCAGGCAAAAGCAATTAGGAAAGAGAAAGAAATAAAGAGCATCCAAATTGTTAAAGAAGAAGTCAAAATTAGCCTTGTTCGCAGATAACTTTTTTTTTTTTTTGAGGTGGATTCTTGCTCTGTCACCCAGGTTGGAGTGCAGTGGTGCGATCTTGGCTCAATGCAACCTCCACCTCCCCGCCTCCAGCGATTCTCCTGCCTCAGGCCTCAGTCTCCCGAGTAGCTGAGATTACAGACATGCACCACCATGCTCAGCTACTTTTTTTGTATTTTTAGTAGAGACAGGGTTTCACCTTATTGGCCAGGCTGGTCTCAAACTCCTGACCTTGTGATCTGCCCAGCTCGGTCTTCCAAAGTGCTGGAATTACAGGCATGAGCCAACACACCCAGCCAACATGATCTTATAGCTAGAAAAATCTAAGGACTCCATCAAAAAAACTGTTAGAACTGATAAATTAAGTAGAGTTGCAGGATACAAAATCAACATATGAAAATCAGGAGGATTTACACATGCCAACAGCAAACAATCTGAAAAAGAAATCAAGCAAGCATTCCCATTTATAGTAGTTACAAAAAAATATAAAATACCTAAGAATCAATCCAAAGGTGTGAAAGATCTATATGAGGAAAACTAAAACTGATGTAAGAAATTAAAGAAGACACAAAAAGTGGAAAGCTACTCCATGCTCATGGATTATAAGAATTAAAACAATACTACCCAAAGCAACGTACAGATTCAGTGTCATCCCTATCAAACACTAATGACATTTGAAGTATTTTTAAAATCCTAAAATGTATACAGAACCACAGAAGATTTCAAATAACCAAAGTGACACTGAGCAAAAAGAACAAAGTTGAAGGCATCACACTACTGGACTTCAAAATGTACTACAAAGCCACAGTAACCAAACCAGTACAGTACACAGGCATAGAGACCAATGGATCATTTGTCCAGAAATAAATCCATGCATTTATAGCCAACTTATCCTAGAAAAGGTGCCAAGACGATAAAATGGGGAAAAGATAGTTTCTTCAATAACTGATGCTGGGAAACTGGGTAACTATATGCAGAAAAATGAAACTAGATCTCTATCTGTCACCATATATACAAATTAATCAAAATGGATCAAAGACTTAAAACTAAAACCTATAACTATGAAACTACCAGAATAAAACACTGGAGAATGTTAATTCCCAATATCAAGATCAAGCATACTGGTTTAGGCAAAGATTTTTTATGTAAGACCTCAAAAGCACAGGCAACCAAAGCAACAAAAATAGACAAAAGGGATATTACAGCAAGCTAAAAGTGCCCAGCAATGGAAACAATCAACAAAATGAACAACCCAAAGAATGGAAGAAATATCTGCAAAATATCAATCTGACAAAGGATTAATAATCAGAATATATAAGAAGCTTTAACAAATTAATAGCAAAAAAAATGTGCCGAAGATCTAAATAGACATTTCTCAAAAGACATAGAAATGGCAAACAGGTATATGAAAAAATGTTCATCACTAATCAGAGAAAACTACAATAAGATAGCATATCAAAAAAAAAGGCAATAACAGATGCTGGCAAGGATGTGAACAAAAAAGAATCTGTGAACAATTGGTGGGAACGTAAATTAGTAGAGCCACTATGGAGAACAATATAGAAATTTAAAAAAAAACAAAAAACTGAAAATAAAACAATCATACAATCCAGCAGTTCCACTACCGGGCATATATACAAAAGATAGGAAATCAGTACATTGAAGGGTTATCTGAACTCCCATGTCTATGGCAGCACCATTCATAACAGCCGAAATATGGAATCCATTAAACCATCAACAAATAAATGGATAAAGAAAATACATATACAGAATGGAACATTATTCAGCCACAAAAGAGGCAACCTGCAGTAACATGGGTTGATCAGGAGGCTATTACATTAAATGAAATAAGCCAAGCACAGAGAGACAAATATTGCATGTACTCACTCATACATGTGAGCTAAAAAATGTAGATCCCGGCCGGGCGCGGTGGCTCAAGCCTGTAATCCCAGCACTTTGGGAGGCCGAGGCGGGTGGATCACGAGGTCGAGAGATCACAGACCATCCTGGTCAACATGGTGAAACCCCGTCTCTACTAAAAATACAAAAACTAGCTGGGCGTGGTGGCGTGTGCCTGTAATCCCAGCTACTTAGGAGGCTGAGGCAGGAGAATTGCCTGAGCCCAGGAGGCGGAGGTTGCGGTGAGCCGAGATCGCGCCATTGCACTCCAGCCTGGGTAACAAGAGCGAAACTCCGTCTCAAAAAAAAAAAAAAAAAAAAAAAAAAAAATGTAGATCCCAGGTCGGGTGCAGTGGCTCAGGCCTGTAATCCCAGCACTTTGGGAGGTCAAGGCAGGCAGGTCATTTGAGGCCAGGAGTTTGAGACCAGTCTGATCAACATAGCAAAACCCTGTCTCTACTAAAAATACAAAAAATGAGCCAGACATGGTGGTGCATGCCTGTGGTCCCGGCCACTCCGGAGGCTAAGGAACAAGAACTGCTTGAACTTGGGAGGTGGAGGATGCAGTGAACTGAGATCATTCCACTGCACTCCAGCCTAGGTGACAGCGTGAGACTCTGTCTCAAAAAAAAAAAGTAGATTTCATAAAGATAAAGAGTAGAATGGTGATTACCAGAGCCTGAGAATGGTGGTGGAGGAAGAAATGAAAGGAAAAGAATATAAATATAAATGTATGTACACCTAAAAATGGTAGACGTAAATTTTACACATATATTTTACCTCAATAAAAACACATTAAAAACCTCAATTAAAAACAATTATCTTAAAAGGCGAAAATAATACCTGGCAAATTCACTGAGAGTCTAATTTGAATCTCTAAAATGTGTTAAAATCAGTTAATTGCCTATGATATCACATAGTAATTGCAGGCTTAGCTATTACAGTAAACAATTTGCATCTTGGTTATTCAAATTTCTTAGAAACTAGTCACGTTTTTAGCTCAGGAATTATCACTTAAAGTATCAAATCTGTAATATATACATATCTTTTTGAATTTTAATATGGATGATTTGACTTTAACTTATACTCACATCATCACTATAAACATTCATCTAGGCATTCAGCAGTCAATTACTCAATTAAACATACTGTCTTTTGGAATAAAAAAATAGATACAGTCTCTGTCCTCACAGATAATCACAGGAAATTGAGGGGAAGATACACACACATATATGAATATTATATGCTGGTCAGGGAAGAAGAGAGTGACATACAATAAAAACAGATACATTAACATTATCCAGCAAATACTGTGACATAAATATGTCACAGAAGCTGAGTAAACAGAACAACTCCTGGGGTAACTGGAGATATTTTCCTTTCAAAGAGGTGAGAAGTTAGTTTGTTTCCTTGTTTTGAGACACTGTCTCACTCTGTTCTTATGCTGGAATGCAATGGCACAATTGTTGCACACTACAAGTGCAAATTCCTGGGGTCAAGCAATCCTCTCTCCTCCGCCTCCCGAGTAGCTGGGACTAAAGATAGGCCATAGTAGATGCCACTGCACCTGACTAATTTTTTAATTTTCTATAGGGATGGGGGTCTCGCTTTGTTGCCCAGGCTGAATGGTAACAAATCTGATGAGGTAATTTCATTGTGAGTTGGCAAATTTCTTCTGTAAGGGGCTAGACAGTAAATATTTTAGGTCCTGTAGACCTAAAAAATTTTAGGGCCTACAGTGATAGAGGAATGACAACCACTCTAACACCAACAACAGATGCATACGGTCGTGACAGCTACTTTTATCACTGTACAGCAAAAACAGCCACAGACAATATGTACATGAATGCATGCAGCTGTGTTCCAATCAAATGTTCATTTATAAAAATTGACAGTGAGTCAGATTTTATCACAGACTGTAATTTGCCAACACTTAAACTGTAATACTATAGCAATGCAGTCATAGTGTTCTAAGATAGTTATTCAATAAATGGCCACAGACTACAGTGCATTTTGCGTTTATAGAGCTGTTTCTTTTATAGTTAAATTTTTTTATTTGCTCTTGGATTGCCACCTCTTGTTGATGTTAGCTTACCATTAGGGAACCAATCATCCCATTTCTAATTTCCAATACACTAGAAAGCCAGACAATCAAGTTCTATCATTATCAGGCTTCAAATGAAGACTCAATGGATCTTTCTAATGAGCAATATGTGTATGAACTCTAGAAGATGAACCTGGGATTTCTATTCAGGACTGAGGTGGGTTTCACATACTTAATTATTTTGACTTTTATGTCACACATAAGACTGCATTTCAGACAGCTATAAATCGTTACCGATACAGTACCACACTGAGCACCAACAACAGATGCATATATTTTAATATTTTAACACCACTAATTAAACTATGATGACAAGATTTACAAATAACTTGCATCACATTTTAGATAATAAAAATTTACATTTTTAAAGAGTTAAGCATTAAAAATTATAAATTAAGTTTTTAAAAGAATAGCACCTTTACTTACTTAGGCAACATTTTTAACTGGTTTTCTCTAAGTTCTAATATTTGGAGTTTAGTTAATCTGCAATACAAAGAACAAATCATGTATCTAGGACAAAGACAATAAATTTAATAAATTAATGTCATATTCTAATGTTTTAAAGGAAGCAATGTAATTGTATAATCATTATATGCAAAGTAATATATTAAAAATTGTAGAATACAACATAAAATACAAAGGAAGAAAAGACTATTTCTGTTCATCAGAATTATGGTCAGAGGAAAAGGGTGAGCACTTCCACACATTTTCAAAGTGATAAAGTGATTATTCCAAAGTATCAATCCTCCAGCATTTCATACCTTTTACCAAAAATTGTTAACTCTTGGTAGATTCAAGAGCAATAATGTAACTCTAAAGTGCAGCTCTGAGAAGAAATAAAGAAACAAAAGGAGGAGGAGAAATGCTATGGCACTTCATTGATGCACATTCTACTAAAACTGGAGGGAAAATGAACAGATTAAGTGTTGTAAATGCCAGATACTGAAGAGGAACCTGACAAGTACATCAATGATTTTTAGATAAAAGATGGCTAAAAAATTAACATTTAGTTGGCTACCATTTTCTCTAGTAGTTAAATTCATTAATAGTTTCATATCTATTATACATTCATCTGTTTAAAAAAATTACTCAGAGACTTGAGGGTGGCAGGGAGACAATGAGGTTGCCCCCAGAAACAGATTCCCTTTTCTCAAGAATTTTGATTCTATGGGGGAAGACAGATCACCCAATTATTAAATCATTTTAGAATGTAATGCTAAGAATGTAACATTCAGTATCTCAAGCATACAGAAATTACTCTCATTGAAACTTCGTGGCCACCTTAAAAAAAAAAAACATTTTTTTTTTAAATTTAAACTCTCATTATTGTTTACTTGGAAAAATTAATTCAAAGTCACAAAAGAAACTATAAAGTCACAATGCTTGGGAATAATTTAAAAAGAGCCTATGAAACTGTAATTAGTAGTACTACTAAAGCAGCTTATAGTTTTGTAAACTTTGTAAGAGCTAGTAATAAAAGGTGTTAGAAGAAACCATAATTTACCTGCCAAAATTAGCTGGCAAGAACTCAAGGAAAGCATCATTCAGGTACAATTGGGTTAGGTTTAACAGCTGAGAAAATCCATCAGGGAGCCTATATAAAACATACCAAAATTTAAATTAAGTTCATATAAGAAATTCAGTCTCTTATTAAAATCTAAGACTCCCATAAGATATTTTTCCAACAGATAACAATCACTTCTTTACTTTTATGACAGCCCCTTCAAAGATTTGCCTTCTATAATAACTTACTTGTTTCAATGTATCTTCATCACTTTGTAAACAGAAAATAAGGTAATATTTGTTTTAATAATGTAAAATCTGAACAGTCAACTATGAATGAGGTACAATACATAAAAATATATTTAGGACAGAACTCTGAAATCAGCTTGAAATTTACCTTGAAAATTTCTTGAAACTCTTGAAATTTACCTTATCTACTCTCAATTAAAAGGACTAGATAAGAATTTCTAAACCTTGGAACAGAAATTTTGGGCTGAATAATTCTTTGTTGTACATGAGCTATCTTGTGCATTGTAGAATGCTTAGCTATAACACTGACTTCTACAAATTAGATGCCAATAGTGTGCATGCATGCACACATATACCCCATTATGAAAACCAAAAAATGCCTCCAGAAACTGCCAAAAGTCTCCTGGGGCATAACAACCCCCAGTTGAGAACCACTGATTTAGATTATTTTCAATTTCAACATTTGGCTCCTATATTTAAAGATTATACTATTTCGGGCTGGGTGTGGTGGCTCAAGCCTGTAATCCCAGCATTTTGGGAGGCCGAGGTGGGTGGATCACAAGGTCAAGAGATGGAGACCATCCTGGTCAACATGGTGAAACCCCGTCTCTACTAAAAATACAAAAAATTAGCTGGGCATGGTGGCGCGTGCCTGTAATCCCAGCTGCTCAGGAGACTGAGGCAGGAGAATTGCTTGAACCCAGGAGGCGGAGGTTGCGGTGAGCCAAGATCGCGCCATTGCACTCCAGCCTGGGTAACAAGAGCGAAACTCCGTCTCAAAAAAAAAAAAAAAATCTATATATATATCTATATATATATATATATATATATATATATACACTATTTCATAATAAGCCAATGAAAACAAGTAACATTTAAAGCTGAATGACATGTTAGGGCCATGTAAGAAACACATGTTTTAGCTTTACTTCTATTTTTTGTTGATTATGAAATGAGTACAGATCTAGAATTTGATGCTAGAGCAGTATTTTCATATGAGACTATACATAATCTTTACATGTTTGTTCTGGATTGGTATGCTTCTTTCTACCCATCTTTTGCTTCACCATTCCATTTTTGCAAAATTTAACAGTGTTGATGCCAGGAAAACTTTGTTTACTGTCATCACCATCGCAAAAGGACATTCACAATCTGATACATTGCAACAAATCGCATAGTTTCTTTTTTGTTGTTATTGTTTTGTTGTTTTTGTTTCTTGTTGTTTTGCCTTCTATTAAAACTGTGAAGAAACTTTTGGTTTCCTTTATTGTTTTCAAAAGTTGGAAGGCACCACACACCTGAATGGAAGGCAAAGACACTCTTCTAGCAGGTAAATAACAAAGAATGAGGAAATGAGGATTCTAGTCTCACTTCTAACATTTAACTACCTGTGAAACTTGGAGCAAAACACTCAGTATCTCTTTTGGATCACAATTTTCTGCTAGTAGTATACTGGGTTAGAAAGATTATTTAAAAGATTCCTTTTTAACTCTAAAATTGTTATTTTGTACAGACAAGATTGAGATAAAATTTTTGTTAAAATAGGTACAACAATATCTAATACCGTTTCATAATTGCTTTATTCACAAAAGTAATTTATAATTCACCTCAGAACTTACTTAGAAATAGGGTTTACACTGGCCTCCACAACTGTCAAAACTTTACAATTTTTTATATTTTCTGGAAACTCCTGTATTCCTAGAAAACAAACAATGGTCAAATTAAAAGATCTATTACAAAGGCCTAAATAATAACAGTAACAATAATATACACCTTCCAGATTCTAAAGTAATTTACCAATTAACAAGGAACTAGATGAACTGACACCACCACTGTGAACTAAATAACCACCGCAATGATTTCTTTTTCTTTCCTCTTTTTTTCATTTGCCTCTTTATAACTGCAGATTACTTTGATTGGTTTTTACCTTTTTACCTTCCATTACCTCTTCTGAAAATTAGTGCCTTCTCCATGTGATGTTAAGGACATACACTGTAGAAGATTTAACGTTCTTTCTGCTTCTCTCACTTTAAAAAATGACTTTTTTTTCTTTGAGGGAGTCTTGCTCTGTCACTCAGGTTGGAGTGCAGTGGTGCAAACTAGGCTTACTGCAACCTCTGCCACTTGGGTTCAAATGATTCTCCTGCCTCAGCCTCCTGAGTAGCTGAAATTATGGGCACCCACCATCATGCCCAGCTAATTTTTGTATTTTAGTAGAGATGGGGTTTTGCCATGTTGATCAGACTGGTCTCAAACCCCTGACCTCAGGTGATCTACCCACCCCAGGCTCCCAAAATGCTGAGATTACTAAAAGCCACCATGAAGACTAAGGATTGTTTTTATTAAATGCTGGGCTCTTGATTGAGCTGGTTCCTAATATTCCTAAGCAAAGCTGAACATAAAGCTGAATACGGAAGAGGAAGACAATCTACATCAGATATGCCAGTTGATATGCCTGAAGGCAGCACTGTCTATTCATAAGACAATGAATTATTTTCTCTTTCCTGCACCTATCCTATTTTTCCTAACTATATTTATATTCCCCTTTTCCCTTCACATAAGCCAGTGTCATGCTCAAAATATGATAACTGCTTTAAAATGCAGTGATTTCTGAATACAATGATGGAGGATATTCAATAGCTCTATTAGACATTTCAGCTTTTGAGTATCCTAGATCAGTGCCTTTCAAGACAAATGAGGTAAAGGATTACGGTTTTTAAATTTTCCAATCTGTTGTGGACCAATACATTTACAAAATACCGTACAACTAAAATAATGCCCAACTACAGTGAAAGATTCTGAACGTTTACTCATTCCCTAAAATTATCACAGCCAAAATAAAGTAACAAATAATTTGTGGACTACCACTGGTCCACAGATCAACTTTAAGAAGCACTGTTCTAATCTAGACTAAAGGAACGCTAATTAATAACATTTTTAAAAAACATTCCAAAAATGAATTTTATATAGCCTGTGTTTGTAAAGCCTATTGCTCCATTAACATGATATGATTAACAGAATTGTCATTAGAGAACCATTTCAAACCCTTTCTTTTATTTTTTTTTTTTGAGATAGAGTTTCGCTCTTGTTACCCAGGCTGGAGTGCAATGGCGCAATCTCGGCTCACCGCAACCTCCGCCTCCTGGGTTCAAGCAATTCTCCTGCCTCAGTCTCCTGAGCAGCTGGGATTACAGGCACGCGCCACCATGCCCAGCTAATTTTTTGTATTTTTAGTAGAGACGGGGTTTCACCATGTTGACGAGGATGGTCTCGATCTCTCGACCTCGTGATCCACCCGCCTCGGCCTCCCAAAGTGCTGGGATTACAGGCTTGAGCCACCGCGCCCGGCCTCAGACCCTTTCAATTTCATCACTAAGTCTACCACTGTAACATACATAGAATGTCAGGTGATGAAAAATGAATGATGCAAAACCACCAAATAGGAAATGACACAGTAGTAACTGTTTCAGTCAAAACTCATCAATGGATGCTGAAACTAGGGGGTAAAAGTATGATGATCAACAGGGTATTAATAGAGACTCAAAACATTCTTTCCACAAAACACTTAGCAATTAAAAAGGAAAAATTCACTTTACAGTAAAGAAATCTGACAAGCGCCACCTTAACCTTAAAAATTGCTTCAAAGTTGGCATTATCAGTTATCATCATCATCATCTGGCAACTAATCTGAGATGTACTGAGAAACAGTAACATCACTTTGGACATATATTTGCCAAAAACATATAAATGAATTTAATCATAAGCAAGCATCAAATGAATCCAAATAAAGTAAAAATTCTATTAAATAAATGGCCAATAATTTTCAAAACTATCAAGGTCAAAAAAAAAAAAAAAAAAAAAAGACAAAGGAAGACTGAGGAAGTAACTAAAGGAAGACTAAGAATCCATGAGACCTAACAAATAAGTGGAATATGTGAAAGTAACAAGTGTTTGTGAGTATGTTGAGAAACTGGGAACTACACACATTGCTGTTAAGAATGCAAACTGAGCCAGGTGCGGTGGCTCAAGCCTGTAATCCCAGCACTTTGGGAGGCCGAGGTGGGTGGATCACGAGGTCAAGAGATCGAAACCATCCTGGTCAACATGGTGAAACCCCGTCTCTACTAAAAATACAAAAACTTAGCTGTGCATGGTGGCGCGTGCCTGTAATCTCAGCTACTCAGGAGGCTGAGGCAGGAGAATTGCTTGAACCCAGGAGGCGGAGGTTGCGGTGAGCCAAGATCGTGCCATTGCACTCCAGCCTGGGTAACAAGAATGAAACTCCGTCTCAAAAAAAAAGAATGCAAACTGATATATGCACTATGGAAAATAGTCTGGTGGTTGTTCGAAATGCTAAACATAGAATTTTTAACTGGAATTTCTTTTTTTTTTTAACTACTACTTCCATTTAATGTTGCATTCCCTGGCCTTTTCAGTTTTCTACTTCTTGCATTGATTTTGGTAATTTATTTTTCATTTAACCTCTTTCAAAATTTAGTAGCTTTGTATCATTCATTCTTCCCCTTTTAAGTGGAAAAAATCATTTTTAACAAAAAGATGACAAAATAGGAATATGAGAGATGTTTCTTTTGTAGACGGGAGATGGGAATTTTCTTACTGGTAAAATAAACTTGCCAATCCTATTGCAAGCCCCCAAATTAACACTGATCTAGAAGACATTCTTTTTACTTAGAATGCTCTTCCTCCCAGTAAAACCAGAAGAATCTTCTGAAAACCTATCCTGATTTCTAAACTCAATGAAATCTAACTCTCCAAAAACTTCAATTATACATTTTAGGGCATTTATACAATGAATTATTTTGTAGTACTTGTGTACTCTTTGTATTATTACTAGCAGGTTTTATTTAGATTGACTCAATTCTCTACTTTAAGTACAGGTAACTAGTACATTGTATCTTTGTACAACAAATGTTTGCTGAATTTCACTTACCTACCATTTTCTTTTCTCTCGTTCACTTACATATAAAATACTTTAAGTTACTGAACATTTTCCTTAGGAGTGAAGTCTTTATTAGTTCTTTGATGAACAATTGTCTTTAAGTGATCATTCCACTGAGAATGCATTAAAATGGTGTCTCTAATATATTACAAGAGCACCCACCGCTTTGCTGAACTGAATAAATATTTTTTAAATGAAAAGGCAGTGTCTGCTGCTGCAGAGCCTACGGAGAGCATGTAATGGTAACTGGTAGCAGTGGGGCTACAATTCTAGGGTATGTATGGTGCTCCAGGGCCAATGTACAGTTGTAGAGTTACAAAGTAAGCAGAGGGGGTTTTGAATTACTATGAACAAGTCACACTGAACATTTTTGTGTTTCTTTTAAAGTCATTCTGTGAAAATGTTTGCATTTCTCTTGGGTAAATACTTAAGACTGGAATTGCTGAGTTAATTACATGTTTACTGATGTGGTGGATTACACTGACTTTCAAATAATGATTCAACCTTGAATACATGGAATGGATTTGGTTGTGGTATATAATTCTTAATATATACTTTTTAAAAAGTGAAACATTCCACGTTTGGGTGGGGCAGGAAAACATTTTATACTGTTCTCACTGGCATCCCAATTCATTTTAAAATTTTGCTAAATATCTCATCTTTATTGGTTTTTATTAAAATCTATAAAGTATTTTTGAAATAGCCAAGTAAAGATATTATTTCTAGGAGTTACAGTATTTTTAGTATGTGATAAAGTCTATCTAAAGAGAAAAAGACCTAAGACCATATAATATGTTCTACTGATCTAAAATCCCATATGGAGAGTAATTTCAAGAGTTTTAAGTTATAAATATTGTATTTAATTCACATAATATATTTATTAGCTTAGTATTATTTAATGGAAATTAATGCTTGCATCATCTCCCACAAATACAAATGAATACTTCATATTTTTATATTTTAAAGTACTTTATTCCATAGCATGTCATTAATAAAAAGTACTCCACAAATGCCTGTAAAATTATAAATTCTAAATAATTATTGTTTTTCAGATACACAGTAGCATTCTGCCCTAAGCAAACAGTTTTGAAACAGTGGTTTGTTACTTTTGAAATTTGCTAGCAATGTGTTTAGTCTGACTTTAATTCCTACCATATACATTCCTAGGTTCTAAATCTGTTATCTCCAGTTCCCACCTACTTCTTTAGCTGCTGCTGAGAATTTTCAAATGCCCATTATATTTTGTTCAGGTGCCTCAAACTCGACCTATCCCAAGCTGAAATTACCTGTCTTCAAAGTTATTCAGCAAAGGTGTTAGTATTAGAAACTGCTATGTAACTCAGATACTAAGACTAAAAGGTAGTAAGGAAAACAAACATTTCTACTTGACTAGCTTCTCCCACGTACATTTGCAGTGTTCTTTCTCGGTAGCTTTTGTACTTTCTCCTCTGTTCCAGATCTGTTCAATGTTGGGGTCCAACAAGGGCTCATTCTTTAGCCTTCTTTTGATTCATTTTCACGTCCTTGGCAAATGCATCTAATCCAAAGCTTTAAATGTCCATATGGTGACAACTCCCAAAGATGTATCTCTAGCGCAGCTTTTCTCTTGACTAAACTCCAGATCCCTATGAACAACTAGATCTCAAAAAAACTGAGCTCCTGATTTGTTCCACTAAAAATCATAACTCTCACAGATTTCCACATCTCAGCTGATGGCAACTCTGCCCTTCCAAGGGCA